TTGCTTGCTTGTTTGCTTGTTTGTTTGTTTGATTGTTTGATTGTTTGTTTGTTGTTTGGTTTGTTTGTCGGCTTGTTTGCTTGTGTGGTTGCGTGCTTGTTGGGTGTTTGTTTGCGTGCTTGTTGGGTTGTTTGTTTGGTTGATTGTTTTGAATGTTTGTTTGTTTGCTTGCTTGCTTGCTTGCTTGCTTGCTTGCTTGCTTGCTTGCTTGCTTGCTTGCTTGCTTGCTTTGCTTGCTTTGCTTGCTTGCTTTGCTTTGTTTGTTTGTTTGTTGTTTGTCTGGTTTGGTTGTCGGTTTGTTTGTTTGTGTGTTTGCGTGATTGTTGGCTTGTTTGTTTGGCTAGTTTGGTTTGTTCTGGTCTGATTGTTTGATTGTTTGTTTGTTTGCTGAATTGTTTGTTTGTTTGTTTGCTTGATTGGTCTGGTCATGAAAAGGAGTGGTTTTCCATTTGGGAGCCCTTCAAATCCCCAGTTTCCACTAATTCAAACCACCCTTTTCAGAGGAGCTATGAGTTTTTCTTGCAGCGTTTTGAGGTTCGCCTCACAAAACCTGAGGTCAGGGAGTCAGGAGAAACCTGGGAGGCTCTGACCTCAAACAAGGTCAGGGCTTCCCAAAAACAATATGGGGTGCGTACCCAATTGGGTGTGGCTCAAAATTAAACGATCGGGGCAAACCGCAGGTTTTGGTACCCATGTTTCCACCAGGGCAACCCATTTTGGAATTCCGGTTTTTTGAGCCACAGCCAATGAGCACCTGAGTTGCTGATTTGGGTCTTAAATCAGGCGCTTCTGCTGGTACGTGGTGCAGGCCATGCAGGGGTACGGGCACATGGTACAGTTGCACACCTACACATCGCACAAATACTCCGTACCCGTGTACCCGCACCTCAGACACGCACGCCGGCATCACACGAGCAAGCGAAGAACTGAAGAACTTGCAGCTCAAACTAGAATGTGCATAGGGATGTGTTTCCAAATAGGTGGTCAACTTGCGGCAGACACAAGTCTATCTTCTGGCCTGACTTAGCAAGTCAGTGTCCTCTCATTCATGGGGGAGGGGCAAGGGTGTGCAAAATTGGGTTCCAGGAAGTAGAGAAGCGCTTCTGAAGAGATAAAGTTGCCGTGGCGCCCATTTTGGAGTCACAGAAAGGGGCGTGTCACAACCATTTACAGGGGCCCTGTTCAGTTTGGGGGCAGTAGGGGGATCCGCCCAAGGGAGTGCCAAGAGAGCGTATCTTGACAAGTAAATATGATAATCTTCTTATTTGTATCTTATTCACCTGCTATCTGTTGATATATTTTATGTCTTATATCTGGAATTCTATGTCTGTTTCTTGTTCATGCGTTCATTCGTTCGTTTACAATCTACCCGCAGAAGCAAGACCCCCTAATGGCTTTCAAACGCCACCGTGCCGCCGAAGCCACTGAAGCGAAGCCGCCAAAAGACAAAAACGAAACGCGACACTCCCCGGTGAGCCACAAGAAATCCAGGGCCGCGGGAGAACGAGAAAAAATAAACAGAGCTTGGTGAGAGCTTTGGAAGGCTGGACGCTATCTTCACCCACATGGCTCACTATCAGCCCTCCCTGGGGCATGTTCTATGAGCGCTCTATGCTGTAGCTCTTCCATCTCTGCCATGGCTCGAAATGAGCCGGTCAAACTCCACCGCCTGCTTACCTGATGCATCTCACTGCCATGCTGCAGAAGGCAAGGAGTGCTGGCCTGGCTTCGCCAAGAACCACTCCTTCTGTGCCCCATAGGGCGGCTCGATCGGCCAAATATCATCCAGAGCAAACATCGGGTCAACCAGAATTTGCCTTAGCTTCAGGAAGCATCGTGGATGCAAAACGCCCTCTACTTCAACTCAACAGGCCAACCACAAACCTTCTCACTTCATTGATTCGGAATTTGGCCAAGGCTCCTCTGGGAAACCAAGTGTGGCGAATCACGGCATAAGCGCAATACACTTGCACAGGACTCGCGGTAGGCGATGAAACTGCAGAACATGAATCCAGGCGTGCCACGACACAGACATAGCCATGCTCACACACTGCTGTGGTGTCCCTCTCTTTTAAAGCACAAAGCTGTTCACCGGCTGGGCTGTAGGCTTCAGCTGAGGCTGAAGCACCAGAAACACCAGACAAAAGCTGCGGCCTGACAGGCTTCCGGAAGTTCATGTTGTTGATAAACTTGCCAATGATCACAGAATCCATGTGCTGCCTGAGATGTAACTTGGAATGATAGATGGATGCATTCTGCAGGCGTAACTAGACTCAACAACTACCAACAGAAACGCCATCAGCACCACCGCAGAAGCAGGAGGAGCAGGAGGAGCAGCAGCAGCAGCAGCAGCGGCAACAACAACAAAACAATTACGATGGAGACGACGATCACCACCAACACAAACACCACAAACACCAAAAACACCATAAACACCATAAGCACCACCCACCACCACCACCACCACCACCACCAACAACAACAACAGCAACAACAACAACAACAACAACAACAACAACAACAACAACAACAACAACAACAACAACAACAACAACAACAACAACAACAACAACAACAACAACAACCACAACAACAACAACAACAACAACAACAACAACAACAACAACAACAACAACAACAACAACAACAACAACAACAACAACAACAACAACAACAACAACAACAACAACAACAACAACAACAACAACAACAACAACAACAACAACAACAACAACCAAACAACGACACGAACCAACACCACACACACAACAACAACAACAACAACAACAACAACAACAACAACAACAACAACAACAACAACAACAACAACAACAACAACAACAACAACAAGAACAACAACAACAACAGCAGCAGCAGCAGCAGCAGCAGCAGCAGCAGCAACAACAACGACGACAACGACAACGACAACGACAACGAAAACAATAACGATAACGATAACGATAACGACAACGACAACGACAACAACAACGACAACGACAACGACAACGACAACAAACAAACAACAACAACCACAACCACAACGACAACGACAACGACAACGACAACGACAACGACAGCGACAGCGACAGCAACAGCAACAGCATATGACGGCGGCGACGACAGTCCAAACCTTCCAACTTCAGTTCAAGGTGCCATGAGCTGACTGGTACATTCCATCGCCTGGAGATTTGGTGCATGCACTGTCAGTCAAAGCAAATCAATTTTCTCTTGATCTCCCCGACACATAGATGGCATCCATATTTGTTTGCCAAGCATGAGTGCTGCGTTGCTTCATGAGTGGTGCGCCGAGGTGCAAGTTGATGCTACTCCTGCCAAAGCCAGGCATGTCTAAGAGGCACACCTCAGACGCGGATGGTTGGCTCAGCTTCGCAGCTTCTTGCAGCTTGGGCGCAGTGAAGCCTTGCTTCCACAGGGATTTCACCATCTTCACCCAGCCCCACGAGTTGGTGATGCGGCCGCTGTAGCCTCGCGCCAACTTGAAGGTCTCGTCTTCGTCTTGTCTCTGTTCAATGAGACTGGTGTGTCTTCAATATGCGACCATGTGGGCACGTCTTTTTTGAGGCTACCCCTTTGTGATGGTTCTAAAGGGAAACCCTCAAGAAAACCACCATTTTGGAGGGGTCTCCTAAAAAAAGACATACGACGGTGTGATTTGTGGAAAGCCAAGGGACCATGCAGCAGAATGACGAGCTTCCCATCAGTCCTGCAAAGTCCGAAATTGGAAATAGAAACGGGCGGAGTTCGAAATCCCCGTCATGCCCGTTCTTACTTGCTTCTTCACTTCCGGATTCCAAGCTATGCGGTACTCCAGCTGGAAGGTATCCCTTGGAGTGACGATTGACTTGTCGCGAAAGACAAAGCCAACACACACACAGGCAATCACAGAGAGATACGATATGTTCAGGTGGCAAGTTTCACGTCTTGCCAACCTCAATCACAAATGAGTTGTTGATTGCTGATTGCCGAGCTGCTGTGCCCCAAATGCCACGTTCCCCTCCTCCAAGAACTGCCGCAAAAAGACCCGCTCCTGCATCCGCTGTCATCAAATGTGTGTGGCTCAAAATTGAAGAGCGAGGGTTCCGCGGTTTTAGTCTTTGCGGCCATTTACCAGGGCAATCCATTTTGGGCACCCAGTTTTGACCCACATGCCACGAAAGCAAAGAAGAAAAAACATGCAAGAGCCGCCTTCTCGGGAAACAGCTCTCCCCACAGGATCGAGGCGGACGACGCCTGGCGCCAGACACTTCGAGGCTTCAAGGCTTGGAAGGCACGCCTCGAAGGAGCCGACGACGGAATCCGCATGTGTTGAGAGGAGGTGATATCGTTTCGAGCTTACCTCAAGTGCTCTCCACAATGCGAAAATGAAAACGAAACGACAAAGCCAGAGCAAATCAGGCAGGTCGCCCTTGTGTTTGACATCCTTCCCCTGCCGTTCAGCTTGGCGCAAGGCCCTCAGCATCGAAGCCGCCACGCATCCAATCTCTTGTCCATCTAAGGTACGCGCAATGCCTCGCCCATAGAAAGCTCTTTCCATGGGAAGTGCGCAAGGCTCCCAAAAAAGCGCAAGACTCCGGGCGTTCTGCCGGTTGACATATGAAGCGAGGCTTGACCGTTGTACCACTGAATGCTCATTCTTTTGGACCATTTGGTTGCAGTGTACCCATCAAACAGGAGACAAAGAGGCGGGAACATCCGCTGGGAAGGCAGAGGGAGCCCGAGCGTCAAGTGCGTGTATCCATGCAGCTCAATCATGAAGGGCCACGGCTTATAGAGACCCTTCTCATGGTTGTGGGTCAAAAATATGTAGCCAAAATGGAGCCCTGGTAAATGGAAACATGAGCTAAAATATGCGGTCCATATCCTGGTGGCTTAATTTTGACCCATACCCTTATGGCGTTCATGATCCGAGAAACTCCGCGTAGGTGGCTCGAAGTTCGGCGCGTGTGAATCAACTCATGGCTTGCAGTTGCAACGTTCGCCTGGATGATCCGGCGAATATGTGGAGGACCAAGTGAGAAGGCGCGCAGATTCCATTTCGCAGAAACTCCTCAAGGAGTGAGTAGTACTGTGGATAGGCGAAATCCTGCACAACATTTTAAACAAAATAAAAATAAAAATGATGCTTCCCCTGCAAATGCCAACAAACGCAGGATTCCGTCCATCCACAGTATGGCATATTTGGTTTCAGAGTCTGGCACCTTCTGGCTTGTGCTGCACCGCTGTTTGGACCGCCGCCTCAGCCTCAGCAAAAGGGGGGTTTCCCCGGGGGGGGCTACGGTGCACTTGGGTGTGACTCTTGGCTTGGGGTAGAGATTGGATGGGGATGGGCTGTGGGGAATGGAATCCACTTCTCTACAACAAAAAGGGCGGAACCCCAAAGACTAACCCGCCATATAAAGAGGGGATTCCCTTGTATCATAGAAGTGGGGATAAACCCCTGGGCCGCACCTGATTGAGCAACCAGGTGAGTGTGGGTCAAAATTAACCCACCAGGAGATGGACCGCAGGTTTTAGTCTTTTCCATTTACCAGGGCAAGCCATTTCGGGGTTTCCCGATTCTTTTGACCTATACCCATGTGGAAAGATCCAGGCTTCAGATGTCGAGAAAGCATACTGCTGGGAACCCTGCGCGCGCGGCAACATTTTCTCTGGAGATGCGGCGGTCCTGTCAACTGACTCCCAACTCACATAACGAGTACATGCCATTTTGTGCTGCGTTGTTATTTTGATATGGCTGTGGCTCAAAAAACCGGTACCAAAATGGAACCCTGGTAAGTAGAAACATGGACCAAAACCTGCGTAACCCCTCCTGTTTAATTTTGAGCCAGACCCATATATTAATACTCTCTCTCTCTCTCTCCACTGACCCCCGGCTAAAAAGAGATGAGTCTCTGAGGAATTCCACGTCGCCCTCCTGCTGAAACATCTCTTGTGCCAGGGAGTAGTGGGAATCGAGCAGGTTGGCCCGTTTTGCCTGCGGGCCAATCCAGTGCTGCCTCATTGGCCAAGAGCACTGCCTGCTCCACCGCTTCCTTGTGCGAAGAAAGGAAGGCATCGGACATGCCCAGCCTGCAACAAACAGCACGGCAGGAGAGAGAGGCATGATGGGCACCCCATATTAATCAACCCCAGTTTGTTCATAGGGGGGTCCCTCCAAAAGTGGTCCGACAAAAGTGGCCCAATTCCCCACTAAGTCCAGGGACAAGCCCTATTCATCAGCTGGGGTTCATTAATACGGGGTCAACATTAGAAGTCAGGTCCAGTCACTGAGTGCACGGCCAGCACGATGCCTGCGCCAGCATTTCTGCAGCCTCCCAGCAGCTTCCCAGTCGAGAATACCTCGAAGGCGTTTTGAACCACTCAAACGAGGCAACCAGAAACCGAGGCCTTGAGCGCTTGATGCATCGCGACAGCAGCAACTTCAGCTCCATCTTGTCAATCTGGGAAATCTCCTCAGTTGGTTCCATGTTGTCACTGGGTTGATCGAAAGGTCCTTTGCATTAGATATTGGTGAACACCACACAAATGATGATAGTTCCCACTAGATGGGAAAAGTTACCCATGGTCATTTGGGGGCCAGTTTATATTGATCAACCCCCCACTTATGTCATGTCCCGCACCTCGCTGCGCTCGGCTTTCTCGTTTTTGAGCTCCTTGAGTCGTGGGGTTGGTGAAATGGCTGGCAAAACCTCTCGCCTTGAGGGCCCACAGCAAGCCGTAGCACTTTTCTGTGGATGGACACCTAGGTTTTCGGCGCCCAACGCGTGTGTTTTCAAGACTTCTCTCTGGGGCGCAGACCCAGCCCGGGCCCAGTCTGCGTAAGCCACTGCGAACCTGCGAACACTCCGTCAGAGCTTGTGAAGACATGGCAGCAGCTGTCCGTCCTGTCCAGATTCAAGCACGGCAGCGGCTCCTGGCCGCCTCAACTCGCGTGAACAACCACTCATCATTTCACGGCATCAAATCTGATCCGTATTCAAATGGTCGTAATCCCAGAACCATGCTTCAAGAAACAACAAGGCAGATATCCGCAGCGATTTCTGGCAAGGGGATTGTCCCTTACTCACCTTCATCTACCCGGTTTTGATTCACGCATCATTTGCCATGACAGATCCCAGGGCAGGCACCGCGGAAGCAGCTGAGAAGCATCCGACCTGGACGGCCAGAGACGCTTTCGCTGGGCAAAAAAGTCGGGGGAAAGCGTGGCAGGCGGGCCGCAGGCATACAAGTCACAAGATGGCCCAATCCTGATCTTTGCACAGAAGGAGGCATGCATAGCATTTCCACAACTTGTCCTGTGGTATATATATATATGCATATAATAATATATATATATGCATATACATCTAGTACAAATAGATGTATAAGTGTACAAGATGTGCGCTGCCAGAGTATCGAGCCAAATCCGATTGCTGATTGGCGCATCTATGCAACCAAGAGTCGTTGTGGCGACAGCTGCTTCTCCCTGCAAATGTTGGTATATACCAGCCAGCCTGATCGTCTCAAGAAAAAAATCAACAGCACAAAAAATCCAAGACTGTTCCCTTGGAAGCATTGGGATGAGTACAACACTTTCAGTGCCCTTTATTCTTAGCCCAGAACTCGTGCTTCGAGCGCTCCATGAGTTCTGGAAGCACTGACTTTCCTCCGCCAATGGACTGTCGCACTTTCGCACGCCGGGCAGCGGTCCTTTTCCTTCTTCGGACAGCAGGCTGATGGACCGGATGGTGTACTCGTCGTTGGGCTGGCAGACCAGGATTCAGTATGGGGGTGGATCGCCAAAGGACCCAGGGTACTGTGCCCCGTTGAGTGCTGGAAATAGAATCTTAGTAGCTTCCCCTTCAGGTCATTTCATGTAGAGGACCTTTTGATCAACCCCCACCTGATGAGACGATGCAATCTGGGAAAATGTCATGGGAATGTGGACTTCTTGGATCAGTCTTCTTAGGAACCATCTACCAGCCAGCTTGTTTGACACCATCGACACCCGACTCACAGGCTCCAAGAAACGCGACTGGAAACAAGTCCTTCTCCCCTCCTTCAAGCCCCAATCCTACCCTCTACGTGCCGCTGCACCAGATAGCAAGCCATGTCGACTGGGCGCAAGCCAAATGACGTGAGACCCCTCAACGACGGAAGGCACTTAGTCAATCAGGCAAGTCGCGCCTCCTGCACGTGCATGTCAGCCACACCATACAGAGGTGACATCACCTGCCGCCCCGCACGCCGACGCTTGCGACGCGTCACGCACAGCAAAAGTGGAAGCGGCCAACCTCAATGGGATCGATGGCATAGAGGAAGCGACCAACCTGATCTCCTGGCAACAGACAGGACTCCATCTCCAGAGGGGCCCGGTCTCTATGACCCCCAACCTGCTTTTTACACCCATAAACCAAAGTGTATAAAATGGAGGCGGAAAAACAGGTTTGTGGTTGGAAAAACCGGGTCCCCAAATTCCAGTGAAAACTGGCCGTGCCCGCCGTTGATGAAGAGTGACAGGGTGCCTGACCTCCACTCAATGCATCTCAAGTCCCATCAAAATGGGAAGAAATGTGTGCAACCTGAAGGAAGCAACTTGAGGGCGAGACCACTCCGCCAGTATTGCAACGGTGTCCTCTGCATACCCCTCCCAAACAGGCAACATGTCATCTGCTTTTTGCAAAATGTGAGGTCTCATGCATCGACCGAATCTGACAGCGACCGAATCCTCTTTCCGAAGCTCGCTGGCAATATAGAGAAACCTAAGCAGGCGCATTTCTGGAACGGCAACCCTCTGAAACAACATCATACGCAAAAGCATGAGCGGCCGTGCAAGTAAGTGTATACATAACATCATACGCAAAAGCATGAGCGGCCGTGCAAGTAAGTGTATACATAGATACATAGTCACATACATACATACATACATACATTACATACATACATACATACATACATACATACATACATACATACATACATACATACATACATACATACATACATACATACATACATACATACATACATACATACATACATACATACATACATACATACATACATACATACATACATACATACATACATACATACATACATACATACATACATACATACATACATACATACATACATACATACATACATACATACATACATACATACATACATACATACATACATACATACATACATACATACATACATACATACATACATACATACATACATACATACATACATACATACATACATACATACATACATACATACATACATACATACATACATACATACATACATACATACATACATGCACATACATACATACATACATACATACATACATACATACATACATACATACATACATACATACATACATACATACATACATACATACATACATACATACATACATACATACATACATACATACATACATACATACATACATACATACATACATACATACATACATACATACATACATACATACATACATACATACATACATACATACATACATACATACATACATACATACATACATACATACATACATACATACATACATACATACATACATACATACATACATACATACATACATACATACATACATACATACATACATACATACATATACATACATACATACATACATACATACATACATACATACATACATACATACATACATACATTACATACATACATACATACATACATACATACATACATACATACATACATACATACATACATACATACATACATACATACATACATACATACATACATACATACATACATACATACATACATACATACATACATACATACATACATACATACATACATACATACATACATACATACATACATACATACATACATACATACATACATACATACATACATACATACATACATACATACATACATTACATACATACATACATACATACATACATACATACATACATACATACATACATACATACATACATACATACATACATACATACATACATACATACATACATACATACATACATACATACATACATACATACATACATACATACATACATACATACATACATACATACATACATACATACATACATACATACATACATACATACATACATACATACATACATACATACATACATACATACATACATACATACATACATACATACATACATACATACATACATACATACATACATACATACATACATACATACATACATACATACATTACATACATACATACATACATACATACATACATACATACATACATACATACATACATACATACATACATACATACATACATACATACATACATACATACATACATACATACATACATACATACATACATACATACATACATACATACATACATACATACATACATACATACATACATACATACATACATACATACATACATACATACATACATACATACATACATACATACATACATACATACATACATACATATACATACATACATACATACATACATACATACATACATACATACATATACATACATACATACATACATACATACATACATACATACATACATACACAACATACATACATACATACATACATACATACATACATACATACATACATACATACATACATACATACATACATACATACATACATACATACATACATACATACATACATACATACATACATACATACATACATACATACATACATACATACATACATACATACATACATACATACATACATACATACATACATACATACATACATACATACATACATACCATACATACCATACATACATACATACATACATACATACATACATACATACATACATACATACATACATACATACCATACATACATACATTACATACACATACACATACACATACACATACATTACATTACATACATACATACATACATACATACATACATACATACATACATACATACATACATACATACATACATACATACATACATACATACATACATACATACATACATACATACATACATACATACATACATACATACATACATACATTACATTACATTACATACATACATACATACATACATACATACATACATACATACATACATACATACATACATACATACATACATACATACATACATACATACATACATACATACATACATACATACATACATACATTACATACATACATACATACATACATACATACATACATACATACATACATACATACATACATACATACATACATACATACATACATACATACATACATACATACATACATACATACATACATACATACATACATACATACATACATACATACATACATACATACATACATACATACATACATACATACATACATACATACATACATACATAACATAACATACATACATATACATACATACATACATACATACATACATACATACATACATACATACATACATACATACATACATACATACATACATACATACATACATACATACATACATACACATACATACATACATACATACATACATACATACATACATACATACATACATACATACATACATACATACATACATACATACATACATACATACATACATACATACATACATTACATACATACATACATACATACATACATACATACATACATACATACATACATACATACATACATACATACATACATACATACATACATACATACATACATACATACATACATACATACATACATACATACATACATACATACATACATACATACATACATACATACATACATACATACATACATACATACATACATACATACATACATACATACATACATACATACATACATACATACATACATACATACATACATACATACATACATACATACATACATACATACATACATACATACATACATACATACATACATACATACATACATACATACATACATACATACATACATACATACATACATACATACATACATACATACATACATACATACATACATACATACATACATACATACATACATACATACATACATACATACATACATACATACATTACATTACATTACATTACATTACATTACATTACATTACATTACATTACATTACATTACATTACATTACATTACATTACATTACATTACATTACATTACATTACATTACATTACATTACATTACATTACATACATTACATACATACATTACATACATTACATTACATACATTACATTACATTACATTACATTACATTACATTACATTACATTACATTACATTACATTACATTACATTACATTACATTACATTACATTACATTACATTACATTACATTACATTACATTACATTACATTACATACATACATACATACATTACATACATACATACATACATACATACATACATACATACATACATTACATTACATTACATTACATTACATTACATTACATTACATACATACACATTACATTACATTACATTACATTACATTACATTACATTACATTACATTACATTACATTACATTACATTACATTACATTACATTACATTACATTACATCATACATTACATTACATTACATTACATTACATTACATTACATTACATTACATTACATTACATTACATTACATTACATACATTACATACATTACATACATACATACATACATACATACATACATACATACATACATACATACATACATACATACATACATACATACATACATACATACATACATACATACATACATACATACATACATACATACATACATACATACATACATACATACATACATACATACATACATACATACATACATACATACATACATACATACATACATACATACATACATACATACATACATACATACATACATACATTACATACATTACATACATACATACATACATACATACATACATACATACATACATACATACATACATACATACATACATACATACATACATTACATACATACATACATACATTACATACATACATACATACATACATACATACATACATACATACATACATACATACATACATACATACATACATACATACATACATAATACATTACATACATACATACATACATACATACATACATACATACATACATACATACATACATACATACATACATACATACATACATACATACATACATTACATTACATTACATTACATTACATACATACATACATACATACATACATACATACATACATACATACATACATACATACATACATACATACATACATACATTACATACATACATACATACATACATACATACATTACATACATACATACATACATACATACATTACATTACATACATTACATTACATTACATTACATTACATTACATTACATACATACATACATACATTACATTACATTACATTACATACATACATTACATTACATTACATTACATTACATTACATTACATTACATTACATTACATACATACATACATACATTACATTACATTACATTACATTACAATACATTACATTACATTACATTACATTACATTACATACATACATACATACATACATACATACTACATACATACATACATACATACATTACATACATACCATACATGCATACACTACATTACATTACATTACATTCCATTCCGTTACATTACATTACATTACATTCCATTCCATTCCGTTACATTCCATTACATTACATTACAGTACAATACATTATATACATACATTACATTTATATATATATATTGCAGCCCCCCTTGCCAAAAACAACTGCAAACTGGCAGGTTGTTTTGCTCGATCATGTCATCCTGCACATCATTTAGCGTACAACTCACGGTTCTACATGGATGTGATCTTGTCAGTGCAATTCAGAAATAAATCAGTGAAACCAAAACTATGACAACATGATGTGCTTTTAGTTTAAGGACGTCACCGGCTACAGGTACCAGCAAGTTCTGGCTACGAGAAGGTATCCATTCTTGCCAGCAATACATGCAAGCAAATGATTGATTTGCATCCATGCTGTAGCTCAGTGGTTCTCAAAAGTCACATTGCTGGCATAGTGTGATGACTAAGCATAGCGAGTACTGTAATAACTGTAGCTGAATTGTTCCTAAGCTTTGTAAACGTGTTGGGGTCCACAGAATTTTGAGAAGCTCACGATTCACAGAAGCCAGTTTATGATGCAAAGCTCTTTCCGAGAACTCCGTGTTCTCCAAGACATCTTTTGACCGGGCTCACACCTTCTTGCTCACAAATTGCCAAGGTGCTGCAACAATACTGCAATTTCACTGTGTTGTAGTGAAATCCAACCCAAACAAAGAATAATGGCACGAGAAAATGGATGCAAGCCTGGATAGTTTGTCCCAACTTGTCCTATCAAACAGCATCCATAAAAGATATCTTATGCATATATTTAGTTGCTTGCTGTTTCCTTATTTGTTCATGATCAACGTTTTATGGTATGTTCATTTATGTGTTTTTTCTTTAATATATATATATATATATCTAGCAACTGTTTATTTATTATTATTATTTTATAGTGAGTATAGCATGGCATAGCATAGAATAGCATAGCATAGCATAGTACAGTATGTAATTGCCCAGTTCACTCTTGCCAGCGTCAAGCAAGGTGATCGTCCCACTCCAAAAACGACATATATATATATATATATACATATGTTATATGTATATATTGTCTTGCCCTTTCTAAATTGCCACGCAAATCCGATCCGAGGCTTGGGAAACAAATCTCTTTGCACCCGGCTTGTCTTCTCCATCGGCCTCAGGCACAGAGCCAAGCGACCCCTTTTGCTCTTTGCGCTCTGAACAAACAAGCGATCAGGACTGGACAAAGGAGTCCTCACGCGAAGAGCTATCCACTCGGTGAACAACCTCGCATGCACATGACATGCACATTTGGATCTGATCTAGGCATGGGGCTCCGTATCAAACCATGGCTCCGCGTCGGGCTGGTTTAAAACCAAAATAAAGCCATCGGGAGAGGTCCGCAGGTTTTGACACACTCCGTATTGCTGGAGACAGAAACAAAAACACGCGGACGTGTAGCTGCGACGCCAAAACTGGCAGATACTTGAATGCTGAGCTTTGAGCGCCCTTCAAGGTGAAGGAGGAATCCCCTCCAGCAATCCAGCAGTCCTCCCAACTTCACAACATGGTTCCACAGTTTGACTACGAGGTAGACCTAACCCCGGTGGTTGATGTCCCCCATCTTGGGAACCCCTGAAACTAACTCCACCTTAGGTCAAAAAGTGGAAAGCTTACAAACTGCCGGCTGGGCTATCCCTATCCCACCAGCATGGAAGCTACAAGCTTCCTTCTTATCCTGGGTCTTCTCGCTACGCGGCGGTCTGGAGCACAAACCTGCGGCTTGTTTTGAAGCTGCAGGCTTCGACAGTGTGAGGTGTCCGACGTTGAAAACATTGCCCGCCATAGGCAGCCGTTTGGAAAAAATAGATGGCCCTGGTAAATGGAATAAAACTCATCTAAACCAGTGTCATCTATTTTTGACTAAAGCAACCTAAAAAGGGCACCTATGCTGCCCGCATTTTGTGCGCCAAGGTACCCTGCCTATGCAAAAGCCCAGCTCCGAGTCTGACCGCCTCAGGCTGCAGCTCTTGTCAACATGATGCGTGCCCTGAGAGCGCCTTCCCACATTCACGGCCTTGCCAATCTTCACCTGAAAACTAAAAAAAGAGTGCAAAAACCGAAGATCCCACATGCCGTTTCCTTTTGGTTTCCTCTTGAAACCATCCCAAAAGGGGTCCCATCCCAATTTGAAGACACCTCCATCTTGCATCAGTCAAGGGCAAGCTGCGCCTCAAAGAGCTGGCCCAAAGGTGTCACCTCGCCCATGCAAGTTGGATCGATCCCCGGAAGCGAGGCGCTGAGCTCCGCGCATCAACGGGCAGGCTGGTCTGCACAAAGCCATCCCCCTGGGAGGAGCATGGATGGCTAAACCGATGGCGATCCCATTTTGGGGTGGATGAACATCCATTTGCCACCTATTTTGATGTTCACCAGGGGTACAGGGTTTTGACCCACAGCCGTTTGGGTGTCAGAACCGTGACCAAGCCATGGCCTTCTGAAACCAATGCGCAGTGCGGCCCTCCACCTTGACGACACTGCCCACAGACTCCTGCCGGTGACATGGTTTCTACTTGGCTGAGGCGAACTGTGCCCGCATACGCCGCATGCAAGTCTTTTCACCGCGACGCGCAGTCGTGGGCACACTTGCCCAAGGCATCGCCAGCGCGCAGCATATCTCTGGGCAGTTCCGTCAAGTATCTGTCAGGCTGATGTCATGGCAGTGTGCCTCCGAAATGCACGGTGCCACTCATGACCGCACCACACAATGACAGCAAGCCAGCCTTGTCTGGATCAACTCGAGCTCCACATCGTGCCTGCCACAAGCGCTTTGACGCCTGTCTTGCGCAAAGCTGGCAGAGCGTCAGCACTTTTCTGCGGGCGGAGTCGAACGTCGAACTGGCACGAGAGCGTCTAGCCACTTGCACTTCAGCCTTGAAGCTTGTGCTCGGCCACGCCTGGGATGTTGTGGGTCCATCTCAACTCAGAAGTGCTCGAAATCCATCATTCTGCCAGCCTGGAGCCAAGCTTTTGCAGCTAGACACAGAGAACCTCTGTCGGATGAACAAACAGGAGACAGGGAGACAGCATCCGAACCTGGCAAATGTGGGGTGTCCGAAAAAGGTCCGACATGTTTGCAGGCTGCGCCTGTGCGTGCTGTGTAGTTGTTCGTGAAATCAGGCAAAAGGCTACGTCTTGGAAAATCCTGAGTCCAGTACTTGCGTTCACCGGAAACTGGGCTCATTATTTTGACCGTTTCTAGGGGTGTTCAAAGCCAGAAAATGGGGTTTCCCTTTAACCCATCACTTGGGGGGTGACTCTGTAAGCATGATAAAATATATTAGGGGGTGACTTTAATCATGATAAAATAATCAGGCTAGGGAAACCCCCGGCAAGTCAGGGCCGGAGCCCTACGAATTAGCCAGAAGCACGGGGCTTCTGGTGACTTAAGCCGGAGAGCCAGCGAGGCGGGCGCAAGAAGCTGCGACCTGAAGCAGCAGCCCGCTGCCGAAGCTGGTGAGGATGTTGTCGTCCACGTATCTGGACAGACCTCAGTTCGTTGCTTCGTTCTTTTATCAAGTCAAAAAATGAGGTCTCCCTGATTGACACTGAAAAGTTGGAAAGGTAACAAGCCTCCTGCAAGTCAACCTGCTTTTAGAGGAAATAGGTTTCCCTGGTAGCCGATTAAACCACCAGGTAAACCAGGAATCGCCATCAATTGTTCTACCAAAAACATCCAAAAAAGGACACCTGTGCGATGAGCCGTTCCCAGAGCGACGCCTCCGGCGATCTCGCAGGCGGCAGCACACGCTCCGCCTCAGCCGAAGAGTAATCCTGCCTAGAAACCGAATGCTACGACTTGCTGGAGCCCTGAGCCAATTTGTTGTCCAAGTCGCCAAGGGGCAACAAGATGGATGTCAAATTTTGTTCGGGGTACCCTTCTTTGGTGGTTTTGAAGTAAACCAGAAGGAAAAACAAAGTGCCAGGTGATATCCCCAACAGCGCTACCCCTGGAACCCTCCCTTCTGAACCCTCCCTGAAAGCTGCCCCAAACCACCCCGAACAAGCCCATGTAGGCCTATCGACCTCATAGCTTTCAGCTGTTGGGACGAGAAAGAAAAAGAAAAAAACGGCCAACCCCCCTCCCCCCACGGATTATGGTGAACACTCAGGGTCCTATTTTGCCACCTCCTTGTTTTAGGGTATGGATGGGTCAAAATTAATCCACCAGAAAACCGCATTTACCAGGGCAACCCATTTTGGGTACCTTTTTTTGACCCACTGCTATCTTATTTGGGTGTGGCTCAAAAAACCGGAATTCAAAAATGGGTTGCCCTGCCAAGTGGAAACATGGACCAAAACCTGCGTTTTGCCCCTTCTGCTTAATTTTGAGCCACACCCATTTGGTCCTTATGGGTCCTGGTCCTTAGGGACCGAGACTCGCCGAGAGACAAAGGACCCCGAGCACCACGGCGTCGGCGGCCGGAGCTGGACGGGGAGCCGTGAGAACCACACCAGCACCAAGAAGAGCCGCAACCTCGGTGTGTGGGATGTGGGTGTGGCTCCAAATTAAACAGGGGCAAACCGCAGGTTTTGGTCCATGTTTCCACTTGCCAGGGCAACCCATTTTGGAATTCTGGTTTTTTGAGCCACGGCCATATGTCTTTCCGGGACCCCCCCAAAAAAAGAAATCGCGCAACCTATGTATATATAGCAACACGATCTGTCAAAAGCTTAAAATAAAGCATAATCAACGCTATATATATATATATATATATATATACATGAGATGAAAATCATGGAACTTCCAGCTCAGCTGGAACGAGCGAGCGACCAGGAAGCAGGTCATAGAGCCCCCCAAGGATTTGGAGGAAGGACACCCTCGGGGTAGAAGCTGAGGGCCGCCAAGCAGAATTCCCCCAATGGCAGCCAGTGGATCCTGAGAGAGCTTCAGACTTGGCTCTGGGTCAAAAATGCGTACCCAAAATGGGTTGCCCTGGTAAATGGAACCAAAGACTGGTGGTTTTATTTTGACTCATGCCCACTTTTGGGGGTTGCTTTGAACAGTGCCGTGCCCCAGATTTGATGGTGCGGCTTCGAGTGCTGCTGATGCTGGCAATTGTGGTGCTGGGAGTTGGTGCTGTTGCGGGTGACCAATGCTCGTGATGCTGGCAATGCATGTGATGTTAGCGGCTGTTGATGCTGCCAATTATCGTGATGCTGGTAATGCACATGATGTTAGCAAGGCTATTGATGCCGCCAATTCTCATAATACTGGCAATGCGCATGATGTTAGCAAGGCTGTTGATGCCGCCAATTCTCATGATGCTGGCAATGCGTCTAATGCAAATGCTGGTGGTGCCAGCATTGCTTGTGCGGCAATGGTTTTGTGCAAGATGCTGGCAAGCCAATGGTTGTGACTGGTGAGCAATGCAAGCAGTGCCTTTGATGCTGGCAGTGCTAGCAATGCGTATGGGTTGATGCGGCCAATGCTGGTGACGCTGACAATGCGTGTGACGTTGACAATGCGTGTGATGTTAGCAATGCTGTTGATGTTGCAAGTGATGTTAGCAATGCTGTTAATGCTAAAAGTGAGTGTGATGCTAAGCAATTTGCATGGCAATGCTTGTGATGTTGCCAATGCTGTTGTGCCGTGCTGACAATGAATGTGTGATGTGCTGATGATGCTGAAACACAAGTACATTTGGCCCCATCAGCAAACCATATTTTGGGAATTGCTGGAACAGCCGTGGCAAAGGTTAGCGCCACAAGTCTAGTTTGAGGGTGCTGACGCTTGGGCAAAGCGCCACATCACCGATCGCCCCAAGCTCAAGATCGCTGTAGCAGGTTAAAGGTTTGCCAAGAACCCTCGCCAGGGCCGCGTCCGATTGGCGACTGCAATGGCGCTGCACACAAAAGAATTGCGTCACAATGCATTCAAGGCGCAGCAAGCGTTGCAACCAGAGTGCAAAGCAGCGTGAGGCGGCGCGGAAAGGCGACGAGGCAGAGGAAGAGACCCATTAAGAACCAAAGGGCAGCAGGTGGTCGCACACCGATCCTCAGGGAGCAGGCTCAACCTAAGCGCTCCATGGTAATTCGTTTGGAAACTAATGCTGACGTTCAGACTTTTGCAGATTGCCCCGGCCTCTCTTCCTCCTTCAGCATCGATCCGAAGAAGCGGAGAAACTCTACGTTCACCGTGTTGGACAACATCCTGGCCACCTTTTTCCAGAGCTCAAGACCCATCTGCCAGGAAAGGTCTACTTGTTTGATGTGAGAACTGGGCTGCCTTTAGATGCCCTGCCAAAAAGTCGAACAAGCTGAGCGGGATAAGTAGAAACGAACCAACTAAAAAGCAGAAAGAACTGAGGAGCCGGATGGCTCCAAAAGACCCACCAAGAAAAAGGACTACCACAAACCAAACAGCGAAAACACCTGAGGCGGATGGCCGGAACTCCCAAGAAACATACACCTTAAGCCAGCTCAGGTTTTTTTCTGCCTGCAGACTGGCCAGGGAGATGGTGCCCGCGCCCAGCGCCAGGGTACAGGTCTGCTGCGAGAAGAGGAGGAAGATCTGGGCCAGCGCCAGGCCTGGCGAGTCTGAGCGGGGCGAAGGAAACCGTAACCCGGCGCCGGTTTCTTTGGGCTTCTGTGGGCTTGGTTGACGCTGGAGGGGCAGCAAAAACTTAAATGTTGGCAGTGAATTGGTCTAAACCACAGTAAGCAAAAATGTGAAATGTTTCCCAACAACAACCATGCAGGGGGGGGCAGCGGCCATGGAGGGAAGCCCCACATGGCTGTGGGACAAAACCCTGTACCCCCGGTGAACATCAAAATAGGTGGCAAATGGATGTTCATCCGGCTCAAAATGGAGCCATAGGCTATGCCCCATGGCCACATGTTCACATGCATTCATTCCGTGTTTTTTTGTTGCTTTTTTTTTGTCTGGCACAAAAAGTGCCCAGATCGGATGAACATTCGACGCCTGTGCCGATGTGCTGCACCTTGCGCTGCAGATTGAGCTTCTCAAACGCCAGCCGGGGCAGCCTCGCCGCCATATACCTACAAGACTTGGGCCGTTAACACGGGCCGCAAGGCCTCATTTGGGTGTGGGTCAAAATGAAACCACCCAGGGGACCACGGGTTTGAGTCATTGGTTCCATTTACCAGGGTTCCATTTTGGGTAATTGCCTATTTTTGACCCACAGCCATTTGGAAATCTTTGGAATAGCCGAGAGTCTGCAGGCCGACGATTGCTGCGCAAATGGCAGCAACGAAGCCATAGATACGGAGGTCTCCCCGAGCGAATGGAAGGCTATCCTCACAGCGCTCGAGTCAACTCCCCAAGCTGCTGCAGAATGCAGGAAAGCCACTGCTAGATCCAGAAGCACGACCAGTAGAATGCCAGTGACGAAGGCCAGGCCCACTGCAATCAATAGCCGCATTGTAAGAATCCGGCTCAAACCAGGGCGACATGGGTGGGCTGCTGCTAAGCGTTCTTTTGGGACATGAGGAATAAGAATTCCGGTGTCCCTTCTTCCAGGGCCGTGCTTCCAGTTCCGTTCTTGTTGTTCCTGTGCTGCTTCGTGCTCTTTTGTTCTTGTTCTTGTTCTTGCTGCTGTTGATGACACAACATCGAACAGTTGGAAAAGTTGGAAGTGCTCGAAGCTGGCTTGCCAGTTCAAAGCATAATTCAGCGCATCTAGAGGACGTCTTGACCTAGATATCTGGCGCATGCTTCGAGATGGAGCAGTGGACTCTCACTCTGCCCTCGAATTCAGAGCCGTGGTAGGATACGGACATCGCGCCTGAACTTTCCTCGTTGGACATCGCCTGCAAGCCAGCCATTTCCTTCGACAACTTGCTAACCGTCCCAACCCTTCCGTAACCCTTCCTTGGCACCAGCATGTGCACGTCCTTGGCGTCCTGGCATGGTCACCTGCGGGGGATCAACGCAGAACACACTTCCAAACTTCCAACGCCCCCCGAATCTCAGAACATCCATACAACACCGCGATCTGTCGACGGCCTCTCTCTGTGACGAATGCCATTCTTCATGTTGGGCGCCATTTTGGCCCCTGGGGTTCAAATCCCTCAAAGGGTGTCAAGGACTGGAGTTTGGTTTCGATGCATGCTTGGAGGGTCCAACAGCAGCTGCGCAGAAACCTTACCAGCGACATCCAAGGACTTGTCTTGTTGGTAGGACAAAACAAACGGCCACAAGCACCATACCATTCCTTCACCCATCTGGCAAAAGCGTCAGCTAAGCGACAATAAGAAACCATGCAGCTAACCATCCCCAATCCTAGGCAAGAGTCCCTCAGCGCGTCCGAGCCACTGGTGATGCTTCTCTTAGTGTCCGTGGTTTGCCAAACTCTCCTTTCTGTACTTTGCCAAAATATCTCACTCTCAACAGTCCTCGTTATTCCGGCCTTAAATCATCAGGTCACCAACAGTTTAGCCGGCCCAAAACGTTGGCGGCCTCGGCTAGAGGCTTCAAATTGCGGTGGATTCTCAGCAAAACTGAGATCCAAGCTCGGCACCTCGGCACCCGTGTCGGTCAAAACAAAGCCAGCTTGAGATTCGTCTGGTGTCGAAAGAGCGACTTGCTGACGGGTAAGCCTTCTGCAATGGCGAGGCGGATTTGTTGCATAGCGCTAGCACCTAAAGGATTTCACATCACAAACACACAATCACAAGCATACAGCGTCAGGAAGCAGCAACACTCTGTGCCAGAAAGCTGCCTGACAAGGTTTCAGGAAGAACTCGAGCACTACCATGCATCCTCAGGCAAAACTGAACTCAACACGCAGTATGGATGTTCACGCCATTGGACTCTCAGCGCCATGAACCTCTCCCAGCCTCCTTTGTCCAAATGGACACACTTCGCATTCCAAGCTGGAAGCCAAAGGAGCTGCAGAACAGGTGAGGCGCCCAATTGGCTGTGGTTGTCAAAACCCAACAAATAACCAGGTGAACATCAAAATAGGTGGCAAATGGCATCCGTCCATCCGCCCCAAAATGGAGAAATGCATAGGTTATGACCCGATTCCACGAGTCCTGGTGCCAAGTCTGCTCAGGTCTCGAGGTGCTGGGACTCTTCTCAAAAGCCCTGGCGCGGCACACCCTTCGGTGAATCTGGGCTCAAGAGCAAGGCGTTTCACCCTATGGGCTCCAAGGTGTCAAAGCAACACTGAAGCTCTTGCCTTCATTGAGAACTCAAAGCGTCTTACATAGACGTTGCTATCTGTAGATGCATCCTCAGAACAATTTACAATATACATATACATCAATGTGTCACGTATCGTTCCTACTGCTAGGCTGCGACGCACCCCAATTCTTTTCCCTTCTCATCATTCACAGTCTGCACTGCCCGTGCCTGTAACAACCCTCATCGCCTGAGGGATAATGCTTTGGATTTCCATGCATCTCCTGCATGGACTGTGCTTAGAGGGGGCCACCGGTCAACTCCGGTTGGGATGCCTCTAACATCCTTAAAAGTTCCCCTCCCCTCGAAACAGCACAGTGCGCCCTTGCGCAAACCCCAGTCCCATCGGGACCTTCAAAGTTGTCGGCTACTGGACGCCAGGCCAGACAACTAGGGTGGGTTGGGTGGGGAAACCAAAAAGGTGTCTGCCAATTTGGCTCAGTCTTGATCCAAAATGGCAGACCCATAACAATTGATGATACATGTTCACCCAATGCCTGCCAAGCTCTAAACATGGCATACATCAATGTGTCACGTATCGTTCCTACTGCTAGGCTGCGACGCACCCCAATTCTTTTCCCTTCTCATCATTCATAGTCTGCACTGCCCGTGCCTGTAACAACCCTCATCGCCTGAGGGATAATGCTTTGGATTTCCATGCATCTCCTGCATGGACTGTGCTTCGAGGGGGCCACCGGTCAACTCCGGTTGGGATGCCTCTAACATCCTTAAAAGTTCCCCAATGCACTTCATCAACTCCCAAAGCACTACAGAAAGCTCGTCACCGCGAGCACGGCACGAAATGGCAGCTTCCACATGATGGGGAAACAGAAAGCAGTAGACATTGAAAAATCATTTTGGCGGGCCCATGGGTCCTGCCATCCTAACCGAGAAATCGCATCCGACCAGTTGGATTTGGAAGGGATCCACTCCCAAGACATCCAAACTTTCAGCCCAAACAAAACTGTGTGTATCACGTGGGACATTCGTTCCAGATCAGGCTCCCTGGATCTACCACGGATTAAACACATCAGGGCTGCGGTGTTATCGATGTACCACACTCCCCTCCGATTGCGGAATGTATCCGGTCGGCAGAGGAGTGCGTACAACACCATGGACAGCTCCAATTGAGCAATCTTCCGGTCCCCCGGAGTCCACAACTGGTAAAGCTCAAGTGGGATGTCGGCTCCCGTCGCTCGGCGAAGCCGTCGGCCCACACCATCAGGAAACCTCCCGTCCCCTGACGAGGGCTCTCAAGAGCCGCATCCGAAGCTATCACAAACCTCTCACACGGCACTGGTAAAACCTGAAGCACTCGGCGTGGTTGGGTAGCAAAAACTGCTTCTAGCAACTCAAGGCTCGCCTTGATAGGCTCAGTCAGCTCAGATGATCTCTCAGCCTGCCGCGTCTTGATGGAGCCCAATCCGCCGCATCCCACGCGGCCATAGACTCCCATCTCCAAGAAGTTAGCCAGGCCGTAGATCTTGGCCGCGAGGCCAGGTGCGAGTCTCCCCTCGTTCCTGACCTTCTGGATCATCCCGGACATCTTCTCGTGCAGCCGCTCCCGAGCCCAGAAAGACACCACGCCGTCGTGCAGTGCCTGAGATAGGTGCTTCTTGTCCTCGGAGAATGGCGTGCCCAGCAGCCGGTTCAGCTCTTCCAGTGCCCACTGGCCGGAACCACCGGCCGACCGCCAATCCGTGATGTGGGCGTCATCGAAGTAGAACGAAACCAGAAGGACCAACAGTCGTCTGGCCAGCGCTTCCGCTAGCCTAGAGTACCGATTGAAACTGGTCACGGCCAACGGAAGGCCAAAGAGCAGCCCTGCGTACCGCTGAAACGCAGGCTCCCCCCAGCCCTGGTGCCAAAAACAAACGATGCAGCCCCTGGCCTCCTCACTGCTCATAGGAGAGTGGCGATAGGCATCTGGCCAATCCTCCCCTCCGGATTCCCACGAGTCACCCTCGCGGGCCGAGCGAAGTTGGCTCTCATCCATGCCTTGCATCACCGCTGCAATGTGCTGGGCTGGTCGCAATGGTGAACAGAGGACTAATTTATTGGCGTCCGAGGAACGGAGGGATTGACCCCCTGTATCTGCGTTGTCGATCACTCGCTGTCACCTGGGTATGAGTCGGAACTCCTGCCCTTTGAGCTCCCGCTGCAGCTCGGACAGGGACATCGGGGCTGTACAAAACCCACGATCAGCGTCCTTCTGCGACTGCTCCAGCAAGAAGGCATCATCCTTGCCCGGGCGCAAACTAGCTAGCACAAGCCGGTTGTTCTCGCCTGCCCCATCCAGGACCTCCTCAAAGGTGATCCTCCGCGCGTCTTGCGGGGGGCAAAGCCGACTGCTGGCAGGCCCACCACCAGGCCATGGGGGTATGATACGTCGGGCCACGCCAGCAATATCATCAACAGGCCCAGCAAGCCAATGTCCCTTTGTGCTGTCACTGCTTGGAGGGCTGGTGCCTGGAATTGCCTCAACTGATCATCCACTCGCTTCCATCTCTGCTTCAGCTCCTTGACGGCCCCGATGGCTCCACGTCGCATCTGGCGCAGGTCCCCCCTGCGTGCCGCCATGACGGAAGCCACAAACTGCAAATCCTCATCCATCACTGCTTCTTGCTCCAGTGGGGTTGGCGTCATCTACATAGCCAAGGCCGCAGCGAAGTGGTCGTCCGGATTGGGTACACCGGAGAGCAGCGGGGGCAAGGCTGCCTTGTGGCTCAACGCACCCGCTTGCTGCCCCTCCGCTGTGCGCGACCGGATGCGGACCCCCGCCGGGGCCGTGGCAGGGCCCAGGGGACCATCCCAATCCAGATGCTGCCCGTTCCGCCACTCCGCATAGTCGATGAATGGAGACTGGTTGATGAGGTCCTCAATCATGGGGAAGCGGAAGCCCGTGAACCAGGGCTCAGGAAAGAGACCCAAGAAGCAGTTCACCACTGCCTCTTGCGTCCAACGCCTCCACGGCACCGCTCTGGCATCCACTCCTGGCAAACCGCCCCATGCCAACAGAACTCCTCGTCTCGGCACTCGTCGGTTCTTCCGTCGTGCTGGCTGTGCGGCCGACTGCTGGACACACTCCTCAAAAACCAAGCCGGCCAAAATGTCAGCCTCGCACACCTCCTCAAAGCTGCAATCACAGGCCAGCCTCTTGCCCATCAGCTCTGGCAATCGCTCATTCAGGCCTGACTGGTGGACATACTGCACGAAACGTGGGATCCACTCGTCCCACGAGCAATCGTGTCCCGGCACCCACGGGCATCTCCAGTCGGACGTAGGGACTCGATGGCTGTGATGCCCTCGTCCAACGTAGACCACGTCCCCGGGTAGGGTACCATCTTCGTACAGCACCTCAAGGATCACCACTCGCCGAGGCAACGTGGCACCCGATGCCAGCGGGGGCGGCTTGAGCCCGAGGCTCACCGCCATCGGTGCCATGGCCCATTCGCGTAGAGCCCGTCCATCGAACTCCAACCAGTGCTCCCACCGACCTACCGTCTCAATCGCTGGCATCCGTGGGACCGTCAGGCGTGCCTTGCCGACCCGGGCCGCCCACCACGAAGCCGCCACCGCGATGCTGAATGCCAGCGCTGCCGTGTACTCCGCCTCGGCCTTGGACGGGTACCACCTGCCATCGGAACTCTCCTGTGGTTCCCACTCTCGGGGGTGGTGGGTATGGTGGCACATCAAAGGCGGCCACTCCTCGATCTCCTGGACGTTGTGTCGGAGGCACTGGAGTTTGCTCCGGGCCCCCGCAAACACGCATGCGGAATATTGCGTGTCCTTCCACAGTCCGGACTCCATCATCGCCTGCTCCTGGGGGAGGTACCAGTGCAAGCTCCTCCATGGGTTCTCCCGCACGGAGGCCCCCCCTCCTTCGGCGTGCTTCTGGAGCTGTGTGAGCATCCAGCCGCATGCCGCGTTGTCTGTGTCCACCCGAGCCTGGTCCTTGACTGACAGCCCTGGTAACCCCAGGGGCTGGTCTGCTGACCGGAGGGGCTGGGTGCTGGTCGCCCGTCGTTGAACTTCCGCGGAGTCTCCCTCGCCCGCGACTTGGTGGAGCAGTCCATCGCGGCCGCAATGAAGTCGGTCTCCTCGAGCTGGCCTGCCAACGACTTTTGCCTCAGGGGGTTAGACAGGTCATGGGCGGGGTCAAGGAGCCAGTCCACGGAGACGGTGCGCCAGTCAACGGGAGGTTCGGCCCACACATGAGGTCAGCCATCAAAGGTGGCTCGCCACCAGGCAGCGCTACCGCAGCGGACCCAGAGGATGCAGCCGCCACATCATCCTCCGGGCCCCATCAGGAGCCTTTCCCCTTCTTCCCAGCGTGACAGGACGCTGTGTGGTTGCTGCCCCACAGACGCGCTCCCCCCTGGTCACAAGGCCGCAGCGGTGAGCCCCCTGCTGACACTTGGTCGCCTTGCAATTGCCATGTTGGAATGCCTGGCACAGGGTGACTCCATCCTTCAGCACCTTAGCCACCGCCCGACCGCCAATCGGCTTACCCAGCTGGAAGAGGGACGTACTCGGGGTGCTGGTAGCCACTTTGCCCACAGCCGGAGTGGCCGGCGCGGCGCTCCCCTCGCCGGCACGCACCACCCAGTGCGGGTCCCGGGCCTCAAACACCTCCATGACCACCTTGCCCAGCGTCTTGGTGCTCTCGCGGAACTTGGTCACCCACTCAGTCCGTTCGGCCAGGTCCTGAGCCTGCAGCCATCCCAGCCGCTTGTGGTGCGGGAGCGACTGGAGCACCCGTCTGGCCCGGTAGTAGTAGGCCAAGAGGACATCGAGCGGGACCTGGACGAAGCTCGTGCTGTCGGCCCCCAGGACGGCCTCCCTAGCCGCCTCCGGAGCACCTGACACTCGGCCCGTGCCAGCCAGGGCGTAGGCCACCAGCAACGTGTAGAGCTTGTCCAGATAGCCCTCCCAATCTCTGGCCACAGTGTCCTCGTCCGCGTCCTCTTCGACGAACAAGGTGTCCGCCAGCTTCCTCTTCTTGCTGGATGACGTGAGCTGGAATTGCAATGACCGAACCTTCCACACATCGAAAACGCACAACAGCCTCTTGGACATCTCTCGACTCACTCGGGAAACGGTGGCATCCGACGGGTACAATTCCGGGGGCAGCCGGACTCGGTACCTGGTCCAAAAGGCCACCTTGACATCCCGAAGCTCGCTGTCTCCCAGCAGTGAATCGAGGTCAGTGGCACTCACTTTGGAACGGTCGGTGTCACACTGCTTGAAATACAGTGAAACCGCGGACCAGGCCCGCCTCAAACGAGCCACCTGGATCATTCGATCCTCTCCCAGATTCAGTTTGCCCAGGAAGGTTTCAACCTGTGCCTCCGAGTCGAAGAAAAACCGAAATTCTTCCAGGTTGGCAATCTTGTGTTTGAGGAGGGCTTGGACGACCGATTGCTCCAAATCGAAGTTGACTGCCAGGGCCCCAAGGGTTTCCCCAATGGTCTTCCCAGGTGGAGGCACCAACCCCAAACTTGCCATTGCCGCCGGGGTCACTCCCCGGCCTGGCTGTCAACGCCGGATCTAGTCCTGCAAGACGAAATGGGCCGAGGCAGACCCCGTCCCATGACCGACTCCCCTCCCTGTCTCCCACGGAAACCCCCATGACAGTGCAGGTGCAGTGGAGTCAAGCCGTGGAGCATCACTTGCGGGGGACCGTCACTCGCCCTTCCACTCCTCCCCAAAACCTAAGGTCCCAGCCAAACTTCACACCCCTTGGGGGGGGGCCTCAGAGGTTCTGGGGTTTAAACAGTTCGTCCTCACATCGACTTTCTTCTCACTCTCAGCAGAGTCGGGCCCGTCGGCACAGGCTGAGGCCCGTGCAAAATGGGGACCCAAGCTTATTTGGATGCGCCGGGGCGCTACAAGGCAAAACCGCAAAACATCAGCCATGGTCTACTCACTGCGCCGCCACCCAGCTGGAGCTCGCCCCTGGCAAAGGTGGCACAAAGTCCGCCCCCACGCTGACGCCTCCTCCCTCAAGCGCCCAGCACCAGCGCGCGCCTGCTTGTGGCTGCACAGCGGCGCATCGTTCATCATGCGCAGGTGGATGTTCGAGCGCACCGTGGTCACGTAGCCCACTGGCAAAGGCCACGAGGGTCCCACCCTCGTTTCCTGCCGCATTCGCTCCACCCACATCCCGGTGTCCTTGTCGCGGGCGATCTTGCTGTACTCGATGTTTCTGCGGGCCCGAATCCACGCCTCCGACTCCGAGATGGTCTCCCGGGTCAAGACTGCACGGGCCAGGATGCCCATTGCCGCGGCCCGGTGCCGGCCCGCCATGCAGTGCACGAGCGCCTGCTCACCAGCCGCCAACGTCTGCTGCAGCACAGCCCACATGTTCTTCCAGCCCTCCGTGCGGTCCCGTGGCTTCGTGATGGGCATGTGCACCGGGAACGCCCCCGGCAATGTCACACCCCCCCAGCTCTCCGGGCTGCTCGGGAGGCAAATGATCTGCAGAGTCACGGGCGGGAAGTTGGGCGCCTCCACCTGCTTCGGGAGTCCGGACAACCACAAACGGCCACCCTTCGCATTCTGGTAAATGCACGTCGCCACCTGCGCAGCGCGCTCCTCCGCAAGGGCATCAAACAGCTGGTCCCCCTGGGCCACAGGGAGCACAGCCGCCGGACGCGAAGGCTGTGACGGGGCTTCCGAGTCACCCTCGGGCCAGGCGTCACGCCTCCTCCGCTTCTCACCAGGGCCGCTCGGCTCTGGCGGCCGCTTCTGGGGCACCGCCTTGATCTTGGGCGACAGCATCATCGCCTCGGCACTAGCCGAGCCACTGCTCGCGGCCCCTGACGGCCGGGCCGGGATGGACGCCTCCGGGTCCTCCACCATGACCACCTTCGTCACCCGGCACACGCCCGCTGCATGCTTCCCTCCGCAGGCTCTCCCCGTCAAGCGGACACATGCGCAAAGGTGTGCAAACCCGCACACTCGCTCCCCGGGGCATTGCCCCGATTGGAACGCCGGGCATAGCCTCTTGCCATCACGCATCACTGCGGTCAGGCGCCGGCCGTTGAGCGAGGCCGGCATCGTGGTAGCTGGCTTCGCTGCCTCTGCCTTGGCTTTGGCGATCCGCTTGAGCTTCTGAGTCAGGGCGAAGCGCTTCTGAAGCTCCTTGGGGCGTGGGGGGGCCGCCCACACCACCTGGGCGTCCCGCGCCTTGGCTTGGGCTGACGCCGCCTGGCCAGCCTGGGCCGCCTCCTGGACCTCCGCCGGCGGAACCAACTCCCAGGACTCGTGGTGGGTCAGAGCCGCAACCGCTCCCACCATCCTGTGCTTGGCCAACAAGGACGCCGCGTACTTGGCCCCGCTGTAGTGCAATGGCATGCGAGCATCCTCTGGGACGTCGCCTTTGGCCTGCCAGTCGCCCAGTGCCGCCATGTCGAGGGCGCTGAACCCCACCAGTTGGCCCACCGTGGTACCAACCCGCCTGAACGAGTACGACGACACCATCGCCGGGTTCTCCACCAAGTCCGCAAACTCATGCCGGACCATCCGGTAAACATCGGATAGCGACCACGGGATCCCCTCCCGACGGAACGCCAGCCCGCAGCCTGCCTTCTGCTTCTCCGGCACCAGGGCAAAGTCATGGAGCCAGGCCGCCGACCAGTCCCACCCGGTTGACAGCTGTCCGGGCACGCAGAAGTCGAAGCCCTTGCGAAGGCGCCGCTGCTTCCCTTTGATGCAGTGCGCATGGACCGTCGACATGGTTACCTTCCGCACCTCCGCCCGAGTGAGGTGCTTGTGGCGTAGAACTCCTCCATAGAGCATCCATGCCGCCAGCAACGCTTGCCAGCGATCATCGCCCTGCGTGTAGAGCTCCTCCATCCGCTGCTCCATCTTCAGCAGCATCACCGGTTCCACCACGGCTGCCTGTTTCCTGGGCCCTGCCCGGCGCGCCTGTCCCGCAGGCGGCGTGAGCATGCTCAAACCCAGATCCACCCTCGCCTGCTTGGTGAGCCAGCGCAGTGATTGGGTAGCACGGGCCGGGGCAGCTGTTCCTTCGTGGAGGAAAACATCAAGGTCGACCACCTCCGGCGGCAGCGGGCGAGAACGCGCCTGCATGAAGGGTGATCACCTCACCCCATGTGCGCAAGGCATTCAACACCGTGGCCCTTTCCGCCTCCGTCACCAACCGCTGCGCCAAACGAGTACAGGATCCTTTCCACTCGCGCCGCAGCTGCTCCGTCAGGACTCCTGTCGGCTTCATCGCCCCCATGTCCTGCAGTGCCTCGCCGAGCCGCTGGACCTGCATCGTGATCGCCTCCGGTTCGTCTTGAACTGCACGAAGGCGTACCGCCGGAGCCCTCGAAGGCCGAGGGGCCAGAGGCCGAAAAGGAAGGTGAACAGCCGACCCCCGGCTCTCACCCTCCACCACATCAGCCGCAGCCGGCAGCAGCTCGGACTCCTGGGCGCTACGCACCCGCACCCACGAGTTGGCCAGGTCCCTGCCGCCAGTAGTCAGCGCCTCCTCAAACGAGCGGAAGGCGAACGCAAAGTCCGCATCATTCTGCAGCCCGTACTCGCGCCTCCACCTGGCGGTGTGCTGGGCGCCCACCGCGCCCAAAGCCGACTCCGGGTCCCACTGCCCCCCGGCGTCCCCCGCCAGGCGAGCGTAGATCCCGGTCGGTACAGCTGCCATGGCGCTAAGGATCCCCCAGAGAGACCAAATGGCTGAGGCATTCCTCGCAGATCGGCCTGTCCCGGATGACGTTCCGTGTGAGGGCACCACACCGCATGCAAGGGGGGGGAAACACACGCTCTCCCGCCGCAAAACCAGCCAGCCACAGAGCCTTCCCGGCCCAAGCAGTGGCCCCATCGCGACTCTCCCAGTCGCCGGAGGGGATCGGCTCATATGCCGGCTCTCGCCAAGAGACCCGGATCCTCATCCAAGTAGTCCCGGCCCGCATAGTAAAGGTCCCAAGCTGCCTCCGGGCCAACCTCCGCTTGAACCAGGACTGCGCGTTTGGTCCATGTCCCAAGCCACGGGAACTGGAACCCCCCATGCACCTAGCACACCCTTCCACCATGCAGGGAACCTCCCGCAACGATCCCAGGGAATGAATGCGAAATTCAGAGGCCTCGGTTGGGGGGAGGTGCACCACCACCACAACAGCCCTCCACAGCCGAACGGCCTGGTCCCGTTCCCCACGGGCCAGCAGTCCTTGCACGTAGGATTCGAAGTCCATGAGGGCCGCCGGGTGCAACATCCGCGCCTGACAATGGGCCACCAAAAGGCCTGCATCGGCGCCAGACATGCCGGAGTCCCACTCCAGTCAACAATATGACCGAAACCAAAAAGGTGTCTGCCAATTTGGCTCAGTCTTGAGCCAAAATGGCAGACCCATAACAATTGATGATACATGTTCACCCAATGCCTGCCAAGCTCTAAACATGGCATATATATATATATATATATATATATGTAGATCACAATGTCTCAATCTCAGCCTGCCGGAAATGTGAACAACAAAAATGTCAGATAGGCCACATCCCCATGGAGCAAAAAGGACGCGGGGAGTCCGCAGCAACTCGGCTCAAGAACCTGATGGCACCATAGAGCTGCTCCATGGACCTCTGGCTGGCTCGTCGCTCGGGTCCGGAATGCTCGCGGGACCCATGGGTCTCTCAGGCTGGGGCATGTAGTAGAGGCAGCCATGCCCTGAGCAACACGAAAAGGTTTTTTGGCTTTTCTCCGGGCAAAAGGAGACTATTAATTTAAAAAAAAATGAGGAGCTGGCCGTAGATGGCCAACTTTGACATGGCGCTGAGTGAGGATGCTCTGGATGTGCCTGGGCTCGCAGCGTCACGCGGCCGCAATCAAAACCACTCCTCAAGGTCAAAGCTCTCACGCTTCCTTGCACAAAGCCAAATATCCGAAGGCTGCACCTGCACTGGAAAGCGGATGCAACACGTGGAGAACACACTGCAAGCAGCTCAAGGAATGAAACGCTCAGTCCAAGAAACAAAGCTTGCGCACCGTACGTGCCTCAGTGTTGCTGCCGCATGTCAAAAATAATGGTTGCCCATCACCTGCAAAGTTTCCATCGCGTGAGCTTTCCTTTCTGCGGGCAATGCATGCGTCGTGGCCACGGCCTCGAAATGCTCCTCGCTTCTTCATGTCGGCGAAGGAGTAGAACCTCGCAGCTGCGCTTCTCCGCTTCCACCAGCCGCGCAGTTGATTCTGCCAAGCTAGGCCCATCGCTGCGGATTCTCCAAGCTGGCAGCCCCGATTTCAGCATTGCTCCAGTCCTGCGGGCCATGTGGCTATGGGTCAAAACCCAAATCGTACCCCCAGTGAACATCCGATTCAATCCCCACTAAAACAGTCTGAAATGGGTGGTGCACCTGCCCCAAAATGGGATCCCATTGGTGTTGACCCACGGCCATGTGTCTGCTTTGAAAACATCTGAAAGCCACAAAGCGATTTCATCACCCGTCTAATGTGATATCTGGCAGCTGAGAACACGCCCGCAAGCCGCAAGCGCCACCAAGGCAAGGGCCAGTATTCGTATGCGAGACCCATCAAACTCAGGGGCGACCTTAGGACATGCCATGCCGTTGGAACGAGGAAGCGCAACTTCGACTGTGCGCTCGGCCCAGACGTTTTCAGGGCACAAGTTGAGGTTGAACACCTGGCAGTCGCTATCACTAATGAACTGATCGGCAAGCTTCCGGAAAGACACCCTAAAGAACGCCACATGGGTGTGTAAAATGGACCCCTGGCAAATGGAAACATGGATTGAAACCCTTTTCTCCATATCCTGGTTTCATTTTGGCCCCCAAATGTTGTGCTTCGCACAAGATGTCACTTGGCCAGCATCCTGCGTCTTGCCTGGTGCTGGTGGCACGCATCCATGCCTCGGGCACGGCACCCCCAACTTGAGTGATCCTCGGCCAAGCTGCAGCCAAGCCGCCGGTCAGCAGAGCACACCCGATTTCGGCCGCCTCCAGCTCTCCGATGGGCTCCGCCTTCCAACTTACTGATGGACCAGATCCATGTCGCACCACTTCGAAACCCGGGTTTCTTTTAGGTGGTGCGACATGGACATCTCGGAGCCATCCACAGTATCACGGCATCTCAAGAAACAATCAACAGATTTGGCGGTGGATCAATAAGTACCCAAAATGGAACCCTGGTAAATGGAAGCAAGGACTAAACCTGCGGCACGCCTGGTGGTGTAATTTTGACCCATTTGGCCAGAAGGAGCTTGGCTTGCCGCCCGTCGCCTGGTTCTCGGCGATGTCTTGAAACCGCTTCTGCAGCGTGGAGCCCTGAACAAGCGGAACAAGCGTTCGGCCGTTCCAGAGGTCACTCTCTTTAAAATTGAAATGGCTGTGGGTCAAAACCAATGGTACCATTTTGGGGCAGGTGCACCACCCATTTTAGTCTGTTTCAGTGGGGATTGAATCGGATGTTCAAAAGGGTTACGATTTGGATTTTGACCCAAATGATCACAATAAGTTGCTACAAAAGCTTGAAGCTCTCACAAGATCCCTACCTGAAGGAGATCCATGACCATGAAGGGCAACGAGGATGTTGGGCTCGAGAAGTAGTGCACCTTTCGACGCTTTGGCTGACACACTGGACGCTTTGCAGCGGTACTGCTCAGCCAGACAACTCATTAAGCCGCAGGCATCTGGAGCAATAGACACCGAGGAAAGCTTTCTCAAGACCTCACGCGGGTGTGGCTCAAAATTTAAGATCCAGGGGACCGCAGGTGTTAGTCTACTTTTCCATTTTCCAGGGTTCCAGTGTTTGCCGATTCCTACTTCATATCCACACAATTGGCTCACGCACTTGTCATCCAAGTGGCATAGACAACTCTTGCGAGTTCTTGACTGGCTTCGCATGTTTGGCTCAGCTTCACCAGAACCTGGCATCGAACCAAGTGGAACAGACATGCTCGACACGGCACGACACCTGCAGATATGTCTGCCCGGCATCTTCACCCCCGAAAAACGTGCAGATGATCCGAGTGAAAAAAAAGAATGTGCCGTCCACTTCGAGAAGGCTGGAAAAACAAGTCTGGATCATGACCTCTTTGGCAGACATTGTGGTCTGCACTCGAAGTCCTCTCTGTTGGTTTGAAAAAAGAAGGGCGGCACAGGCAAAGAAGGCGGCACAGATGTGAGTTGCGCAGCCAAATGCCAATGCAGGATATCCAAAAATGATCTGGCGTGACGGAAAGACATGGGCCAAGGCTAGTATCCTGTGGGCACCCAACTCCGCTTCAAAAACGCTGCCATTGAACAAGTCGGGAACTGACAGTTGCCTAAGCAGCTGAACCATGCCAGGCGGGCATCTTGGCAAAGGAATATATCGTGGCACACGACGGTCACATTCCTCAACTGACAATTCTGCACTCAGCCCCGTCCACAAACCTAAGCTCTCAGCCGCATGGAGTAGCTCTGTACCGACTTCAGCTTCCACCTCCCCTCGATGACCTGAAGTGCAAGCGGCTCAGAGTACACTGCAACATCCAACTGAGGGCCGTACCAGGTCCCCTGCTTTGCGCATGAGCTCCTCTGCCCAAGACCGTCCCATCTATCCAACGCGGATGATAGAGCAGACGCGCGAGCTCCGGCGTCGCTCACTCGTGTTTTTGGGAGGGAGCAACGGCAAGGCTCCTGCACCTGTCGCTTGGGCAGGTTCGGGTTCTTCTGCATTGCCTTGCACAAGCAGAAAGAGGAGAGAGACAGCGAGAGAGCGAGAGGACTAGAAGGCTGTACCTTCTGCAGCCTCGCCAGCATGCGGTGAATCTCCCCATAGAGCTCCTGCCAAACTTCCCGCCAAAATCATCATAAGCATAGGTGACCTTTTGGAAAAATAGATGGCCCTGGTAAACGTGATAAACCCATCTAAACCAGTGCCATCTATGTTTAACCAAAGTAACCTAAAAAAGGACACCTATGATCATAAGACCACAGCTTCTCGCACAAATGGTCCTCCGTCAAGGGCAGTGGAGGCTCCACTCCCTGAGGCAGAAAAAGTCCTCTTCGCCGGCCCGGACTGCTTCGATTTCCGCGGCGCCTGCTTTCCCCGGGCCTGGCTCGGAGACGCCTCAGCTGCTCGAAGGCACCGGCACCGCTCGAAGGCCAAGCCATGGGAATGCGCCGAGGCCGCAGCGTCCGTAGGTTCCTCAGTCTCCTGTAGCGCCACTCAGGCAAGTCACGACGCAAGATTCGAGCATACAGCATGCAGCAATGAAAGGTACCGCACAAACAAAAGATGGATCAATGTTTTACAGCTTGCAAACACACAGCGATGGGCATTCTCGCATTTCACTGCGTTCCGCCCCATACTTCTTCCAATTGGTATCATCTAAGCTGCATATGCCGAACTTGCATGTGAGTGCGAGCAGGAAAACGCTAATCTTCAATCAGCTTTTGAATCTGTTCTCAGTGTGTGCAGTTCAAAAAGCAAAATGCAGTTCACCAAGCCTCATCTGAAGCCAAGTACACGCCCTTCTTTGCAGCATCAGCTTCCAACACGCAGAGTCTCCTCAAAATACGCACGGGAAAGCCCTGCTCTCTTGGCGACATTTCTGCAACAGTCCTGCGCAAATACTCGTTGGAGCTCGTGAGCTCCTGCTCAGGACCAAGCAAAGCGCACACTTTGAACGAGTGGGAGGCAAGAACTGGCAGAAGCATCTGTCATCAGCTCCTATGGTTGGCTGGCTTGCTGGCTTGCTGGCTGGCTGGCTGGCTGGCTTGCTGGCTTGCTGGCTTGCTGGCTTGCTGGCTTGCTGGCTTGCTTGCCTGTCTGTCAATCTGTCAGTCTGTCTGTCTGTCAGTCTGTCAGTCTGTGTGTGTGTAGGTTTGCCTGTTTGTCTGCGTTTGCTAATTGGTTGGCAGTTCCTGCGTCTGTCCGTTTCTTTGTTTCCCCGGTTTCCTGGTGGAGTTGTGTTGATCAACTTATATATTGATCGGCCTCTGACTGTTGCTCCGTCTCTGCCTTTGTGTGCGTGTCTTTGTTTGCAGATTGTAAGAATCAATCTGTGCACAAATGCTGCAATAGCATGCCTACATGTAGAGCTTTTGGTCCCCGTTGTCATAAAAATCGGAATGCGCGGTCTGTACCACTGTTTCTGTCGTGCGAAAACCATCGAGGCCCCACATAAACCACGGCCCAAAACGGGTACTCATTCTTTGACAATCCCCCACATTGCCCAATGGCTGTGGTTGAAAGAGGGAACCCCTGTTGGGATTCATTGATTCCATTTTGAGGAAACACACATACTCAAAAACACCGTCTCCCTCGACCCTTTTGACGATCGGACCTGCAGCTGAACTTGGAACTGCTCCGCTTCTCGCCGCCTCAGCTCTTCCTGCTCTTTGACCTCGAGAGCTCGAAAGCTTCTCTGAGACACTGGAAATCCTGGCCACTGCATCCAAGAGCGCTACCCTCTCATCTTCTGCATCTGATGCCGTTGAAAAGCCTGGCCGCAGGAATCCAGGAAACGACATTTAGCGTCTATGCGCTGATCGATTTTCGGTCTGCCTCTGGGGAAGGTCTCTGACAACCTTCTGCATGACCTCAACAAACGGCATCCCCACAGGGCTCCCTATATTTCCCCTTGAGACATCACCCCCACCCAGGGACACTCACCTTTCCTGGGCCAAAAAGGTGATGTTGAACATCGCCAAAATGGGCCCCTGCCAAACCTCAGCCTTCCACCTGGGCGACGGACTCATGCCGACTCGGAGGTTCTGAGTCCTGGCCCTGCGAGTCGTCCGAGCTGTCGGAGAACCCAACCCGAGAGCCATGCGCGATGGGCTTGATCAAGATTCCAAAGGCCCCCAGTTTTCACCATGGGCAACTTCTCTCCCATGCGATTGAAATATATCCATGGGATTGAAATATATCCATCCTTCTCTCGTGGGTTGTCCAAGCAATGGCCATCCCATGTATCACGGACCTTTTGATCAACCGCCCACTTGTTTTGAGCTGGTACCCGTTGTTGGGAACATGCAAGGAAAACCAAACATGTAGTTTTTTGCGCGCTCTACATCGCCATCCTTCGCTCGGCTCGCTGCAGCTCTCTTGGCTGCACGTCTCAAATTCGAATAAGAACAAAGCGGGCAAAAATGAAAATAAATCGCCGCCTGTCCCCGAAATCTGGCAAACCAAACCGGGCACAGTCAGCATGCAAACGTTTAGAGTCTCCTTGTGAGTCCCAATCTTGTGAGCCAATTGACGCTGGAGTGGTCCCATCAGGCTCCACCGCTGGCAATGGCGGCTGACCGACATCTATCTCGTGGGTTCAAGTACACCACCAGGGCAACAATATCATCGATGTACTCGGCCTGCAGCGAGGGCACTTGAATGCGACACAGCCCTCTTGGCGGGCGTCTACGTTCACTGCATGCGACGGCCAATGGCTGTCAATCAGCATCACCGTAATCCCCGCCTGCTGAACCCATCGGATTCGTGATTCCTGGACCAACGCATCAGCTGCCGCTGAGTCAGTTCCCTGTGTGTGCTTCGCCACAATATCCACGACTTCCTGTTTGACAATGGCAAGTGAGTTGAAACAATCACGTGGTAGGTGACCTTCAAAGCAATAGCAACGGCCTTGCCTCTCGTGCGTGCGTCCGACTGGATCTAATTGACTGGCTTACTCGCTGACTAACTGACTGACTGACTAACTGACTGACTGACTGGCTGGCTGGCTGGCTGACTGACTGACTGACTGGCTAAGTGACTGACGGACAAACTAATTTAGTAACTTGGCAAAGTGACTTAGTAATTTAGTATCTAATTCCCTAACTAACTGACTGACTGACTGACTGACCGACTGACTGGCCAACTAACTGACTGACTGACTAGCTAGCCAGCTAGCTAACTACCAACCAACTGACCAAAGCATGTCAGTAACAAACCAACCAATCAACTAACAACCAACCCACAAACCATCTAACTGACCACCCGACCAATCGACCAACAGGACAACCGACACCAAACACACCGACAAAGCAACAAACCGGCCGACCAACTGACCCAGCAAGCGACCGGCCAACCAAAGCAAGCAAGCAAGCAAGCAAGCAAGCAAGCAAGCAAGCAAGCAAGCAAGCAAGCAAGCAAGCAAGCAAGCAAGCAAGCAAGCAAGCAAGCAAGCAAGCAAGCAAGCAAGCAAGCAAGCAAGCAAGCAAGCAAGAAAAACAAAGCACGATAACTGCTTACGGGCACATGTGTGCGTGGATTTGTGTATGTGTCTGTGTCAAAACTGGCGTTATCTTTTGGTACTAACGGTCAATCTCCAAGCTGCGCTCGCTGCACGAGAGCAGGAATCCAAACTCAAACGCCTGCTTCCATGCTTATCGTGGGCTGAGGTCTTGTGAGCGTCGCGTCCAGTGAGACACATGGGACTTGGGACACAAGACCCATCACTGTCACATCGCTTCCCAAAAACTAAGCAAGTTAGCAAGCTCCACAGTGCGATGCGCGCTTGCAAAAAGAGCATGCCTCTGATACTGAACTCCAAAAGCATCTGCACAGCCCCAAAGCCAGCGTGTCCTGAGGTGTCATGAACTCCCAGATTCCGTCGCTGCACATGACCAAGAACTGATCACTCGGGCCAACCTCGATGGACAAATACGATACCAGCCAGCCTTGCTTACTTGGGATCGATGCTCATAGATCTGGGTGTGTCTTTTGTTGATGGTACCCTTTTTTGGGGGGCGGCTCAAAGGGAACCACCAGGAAACTCGCCAATGGGGCACCCCTTTGAGACGAACCCATAATATATTCTAGCAAGCCTCAAGTCATTCAAGTCAGCCCCGGCCTGATACTCCAAGACTTCGGGATCCGCGATGAGTCCGCTCTCGCGGTGCGCTTCTAAATCACCTAAGGAACCTGGGCTGCGTGTTTTCTGATCCCCTGCTAAAAGTGACGAACGTGTGGGTTAAATACAATCACCCAACCACTAAAGTCACTAAACCCACTAAAAAGCTCTTAAAACCTAAGGAGCCGGATGGAAATGGAAACCCGACGACTAATCCAACTAGACAGCTAGACAGCTAGAAAGCTAAAAGCTAGGGGGATGGGAGCCCCCAAGGCACGTGTCATGTTGAGGCCTGCGCCGTAGCCATCCTTGTTGTAGATTCTGTAGTCCGAATGCCCGTCAAAGTCAATGGTGCCGCCGGCAGCTTCAATTCGACTTCTCTCATCCAGAAGCTGAGGCTTATGATCTCGGGTGAGCTGAGTAGCCTTCAGTTCCTTCCCTTCCAGGCCTGGCAACGGCAAGGATCGGCCCTTTGCTCTGCGCAGGGTTCCACTTTTTGGCCCCAAGATAGACTCAAATGTAGGGCCTCTCCTTTTGGAGGAATGTGGAACACTGGCTCTGCACGTCTCAGGACCAAAAACGGATACTCTTCGACCGAGGCGCGGCCAATCACAACGCTGCTGTCCCCAACATGACCCAGGAGCAGAGAACCAGTCCGATGATTGTGGAAGCAAGTCGTCGCAGTGGTGCCAGACCATCTGGCATTCATCTTGCTATAGGCATCTGCGCTGTCAATAAGCATGTGCAGGCGGCGAAACTCCTCAACAAAGAGGCCCTTCATGCCCGGCGAGCTCATCCTGGGGTCAGCCACCAGCATCCTTGGCAACGTCTCCTTGACAAAGTTCGCCACATCGTGGCCTTGGAATTGGAAGCAGTCCGAGAGCCGCGCCAAAACTCTCTCTCAACTTGATTTGCCGAGCAGCCGTGAGGGCCATGACCGTCAGAAACTGTATAGATGGAGAATTCGTGCTCCACCCTCAAGACCGACCAGGCGTCCTGGTTTGGGCTGCCAGGCTTCAAGCCCTTCTGGCAAACGACGCAGTAGGGTGCATCAACACTGCTGAGATCATCCCCGTAGAGATCTGTTGGCTTCCTGACCTCAGAATCCCGCTGGTCCCGAGTCCAAATGTCCCCATCACTCCAAACAATGCTGTCGTCCACCAAACGCGCTTTGCGCCGCTCGCCCATGATATCGATGGAAAAGGTGTTCAGGCCTTCCCAGGAGAGTGTCGTCGTCAAACCCTGGCCGTACTGCACCTTCTCTCCATCGATGAGCTTCGCGCCCGCATGAGCTCTGGATGTCCATCGGCCATCCATGTTGGAGCTGGTGGATTCTGCCAGCATGGCACGCTTGCCTTTGCAAGCCTCGGACTGCTTCAAGCTCTGCAGAGGACCTTCCTTGTCCAGCTTGTCCAGGTAGTCAAGACATTCTTCGTCAATATCGCAGCACAACCAGCCATCATCTGTCTGCTCTCCAGTCACCACAGTGTTCCAGAAAGCGATGTGCTCGTAGTCTTTGTCCCTGATGTTCTTTGACAACCGGTAACACAATCCATGCGCACGATCCTTCAGTAAACTGTTGTCAATGCGGAAGCTGTTGCCACCCAGATCCACTATAACGGTGTTACCTCAGTTTGTTGGCAATGAGAAACAACCATGCGGCCGCTGACAAAGCCGACAAAGCCGACTCATGTCCTTTTGTTCAATGGCCGCGCCTTTCACCTCGAAGGGAAGATATCGAATCCGGCAGTCAGCCGCCAACTTCTGTGCAAAGCTGCTCTTCCTCTGCAGCATGTTGGTATACCTGCAGCCCGCTTTTGATTGGACAGCAGGTGCAAACCAATGACGGCCACCAAGCTGAATTGTTGAGCCTGGTGGGAAACATCACACTTTCGGAGGCGTCGGCTACAAACGCCCAGCAACGAGCACGGTTGGCCTGGCATGCAAAGATGCATGAGAAGAATCTGCATGCCGAGGTGCCATCTCTGAAGCTTGGGCTGTTCTGACTTGCCAGCTGTGCACCCCATCGCAAGGGATCTGTTGACACCGGCTCTGAAATAGCTGCAGCAAGATTTGACACGAGTTGCAAAGCGACACGACTTGCAAAGTCACTGCAAAGCGACTTTTACTGGCTGGTGCTCAGGAAATGAGGGAATGACCCTGATGAACTTTGAACCTTTGCCTCTCCCAAGATTCAAGAGAATGCTTAGGTAAGGGTTCTGGGACCATGGACCATCCGTCGCAGTGGTATGGCCCTATTGAAGCTGTAGTCATAGGTGGCCATTTGTCAAAATAGATGGCCCTGATTTCATTCCCCATCTGAACCAGGTTTTCCCATGGCCACAAAGTCCATGGCCAGCCTCGGGCACGTTGGCAGCCTCAGGGGTACTCCCAGATAACTTGGGCCAGAGGGACATGTCCTATCTGCAAAAGACCTTTGGTGGCTGCATCAGCAGCTTTCCTGCTTGTCTTTTCAGAATGACCCACTAGATTATTGGCTTCGCGGCTAAACCGTCAAGTGTGGCTTATGGCTTGGTCATGCATTCAAATGCGAGCATGGGCTTCGGAGAGAAAAAAAAAGAGTGGAGATGGAACTCTGACAAGCTCCAAAGGCATTCGCGGCCCCGGGCCTTCCTCTGCTCTCGGATGGCATGCAATTGGTTAGCCACCTAGCCGAAGGAGTGGAAAGTTCCCACAAGCTATGCAGAACATGGGGAAACCAAGTGGGTATGGGTCAAAATGAAATCGCCAGCATATGGACCACGGGTTTAGTGGTTTAGTCCTTGCTTCCATTTGCAAGGGTTATATTTTGGGTACGACCACATCGAAGTCCAAAGGTCACCTAGGGGAATGAACTGCAGCGGGCACTTCAGAATGAAACCTTCACAAGGAGGACCTTGCAAACCAATCACCAGCATCTCCAGTATGCCTGCATCACCAGCATCACAGGCCCGTTCGGAAAGCGTGCCTCTCACAGAAGCAACACCTCAGACATCCGGGGCCGCCGGGATGCAGGCTGAGCCCAAAAGGCCCAAGCCTTCACCAAAGAAGAATACGGGCTGTCCGCTTTGCTTTGCCAGACAGCCAGCTCAGGTTCCGAGCGCCCTACACCGAACTGGGCTGTCCTCAGATCCCCCCTAAACCTCTAACCTTGATTGGAGACCCAACCACCAAACCAACCAAAAAGCCAAAAGAAGCCAAACCAAACCGGATTTCCAACGAGAGCCAGCAAAGCCTTCGACCCGCCTCCTCCAATTCCCGAAATTTCAACCCCCAAAAATCGCTCCCGGCTCGCCTTGCCATGGGCGGTGCTGAGCTGCTGGAACTGCTTCTCCGGCACCATGGGCTCCATGTGCCCTCGCCCCGAGGGGCCCCGAAGAAGCTCCAGCTCCCGCTGCAGAAGCAGCACCCGGTTCTGGAGCCGGTTCACCTGGCGGGGGTCCATTTGCTTATTGGCTGGGGTCCGCTTATTTCTGGGCTTTCGGTTCTCTACCTGTGTGTTGTCTTGTAAAGCAGCTAAACTTGGCAGAGGCAAGGTCAGCCAGAAGCTGGCAAGGCCATGCAAGCCAAAGAGGGTATAGCCCTGAGCTATACCATGCTTTGTGTCAAAAATTTGGTTCTGCCTGCATGACATCTCTCAGCTTCCCTCGAAAAGGGTAAACTTGGAGGCCTGTTGGGTGGTGTGTCCTGGAGGGGTTTCCCATTTACCCTCTACAAGAACCAGCGACCCGTTCAAATCCCAAACCACCAATCCAAACTACCAATTACGGGGTACCTGACCCTATCATGTTCTCTGATTTCTCTATGTGTCTGCTTTTATGGCATATTCTCCCGGGTCTGTCATTGCACTCATAAGCCGAGCCGAAATGTTTTTTCTTCGCTTCAGGCAAGCGCGGCTCTGAGGTCGCTGTTCTGAGCAGAGGCCTTTCCAAACGCGCCGTGCTGCAGGAAAGCAAACACGGCTTTCGTCGCCGCATGCGTTGTGGCAGGATGGCTCGTGTGGCCAGAGCTGACAGCAGTGACTCCTTCACAGTTGGCTGCCAGCGGTGTCCCCGGTGGTGCTTCACATGCCTGAAAGTTGCGGCCAATGCTCGCCAAGCAGCTGACCACCTCTGGGCCTGCCGGCTGAAAGGCAGATGGCGCGAGTGTTGCAAAGTGCTGCAAGGTTCTGCGTAGCGCAGCCTCCTGTTCTGGCTTCCCGGACTGCCGGACCTGATCTTCGCTTGGCACCTTCTCCTGCAAGAGGGTGCCAGGAGGAAATGCTACACCATCCGTCATGGCCAAGGCCTGAATCCGCTCGCGGGCTTTAGGCTCCGCTTTCAGCAGATTCACCACGTTCGGGCCACCGTAGGAGTGCGCCACCACCAAAACGCAGGACGCGTTTGCAGTCTCGACGTAGGTCCTCCAGAGGCTGCAGAGGTGCCGCTGGGGACACTCGGATCCAGCGATCGGAATGCCTTGCAGCTCGTTCACGTTGGGATTGGCCACCAGCACCGCCCAGCCCAAGGCTTGAGCCCGGAAGATGTAGTCGAACATGGCGCCCTCACGGCTTGCGCTCGCTCCCTACCATTTCCCCTGAGAAATCGGGGGAAACCACTCACCCATGGCCCCAAAAAGGTGAGGTCTTGATAAACCACCAGAGGAAATATGGCCAATTTGTCAAAATCCCGTACTGCCAGTGAACATCCCAATCCCAACTAAAATCCCGACTAGAATGGGTGGTGCACCTACCAACCAAAATGGGATTCTATTGGTTTTGACAACCGCAGGCCATATTTCGCCTGGTGGGTTCAAAGATCTCAGCTTGTGGGGCCCTGGGTGAGTGGGGATTGAATCGGATGTTCACTGGGGGCGGGGTTTTGACACCCACAGCCAAATAACTCGGCACCCCAACACCTCGTGGAGGCTCCCGTTGATGCAGAGGCTGCGGCCCCAGACGCCCGCCGCCCCGCCCGGCGCGGAGCCGCAGACCAGCACCAGCAGCGGCCCGCTGTGCTCCCGGAGGTTGGCGCTGCCGTAGACCACGCCATTGGCCTCCCCTGAGTCACGGCATCCAAGCCCAGGAGTGCCACCCCCATAGGCGTCCTTTTAGGGAAATAGATGGCCCTGGTTTATGAGTACACCACCAGGTAATCCAGGAATCGCTGTCTATTTTTCTACCAAAACAACGAAAAAGGACACCTATGGCCACCCAGGTTTCATGATCCCTTATTTTGAGTAGATCGCCAACCTTTTGTTTAGAAGGGTCCAAAGGGAAACTCCAGGTTGGTGCGTCTTTTCCCCAAGTGGCCTCCCCATAAGGTGGTCACCCGGGAGTGTTGACCCTGGATTAATAAGCCCCTGTTTATCAATATGGGGGTGTCCCTGGTTTTAGTGGGGATTTATATTTTTTGGAGAGGAACACCCCCATATTAATAAACAGGGGTTGATTATTCCGGGGTCAACATTATTAAAATGGTCTACCCCGGAACCATGTAAAGAAAACAGGAAAGGCGGCCGCACCCATTTATGACTGGGATTGCCCCTTACCCTCCAACTACCCGGGTTTTGATTGTGGCTCACCTGGAACCGAAGGCAGCGGCAGCGGCACGAGATCGCAGAGCCCCGTCAGCTGCTGCTGGACGTAGCACCTGGGTTTTGGGTTTGGCCCTCCCCCAGACCATGGCAGCTCCCAAACGGACCCCCGAAATGGAAGACTTGGATCCATTGACGGCCTTCCGAAACCTTCCGGCTGTTTGCCTGAGGGAGTGCACAGGAGATTTCGGGGCCCAGATGTGTACCCAGACCATTCGACCTTCCCAGGACTTCAGGGACCAGCTGAGCTCTGTTGGCTGAGGGCGGAGCACTACTGCATCCGCGACTTCATCGTAGTTGGCCTGGTCCTGGCAGGTTGAACAGAAAAGGAAAGCAAGAGGCTCAGCCATACTGTGGACGAAATCCATTTCGCACCACCACCTGGCGATTCCCACAAAGGAAACCAAAGGGGATGGTTCTTCCCGTCATTCCAACTCATTCCCCGCGAACCCGCCAGACCGAACCGAGTCATGGGCGTTCTCTTCGGCACTTCCGGCGGCGTCCGCGGGCCTTGAACTCGAAGCCTTTCTCAGGGTCGCTCTTCTGCCGTAGCACCCAGTCGCTCTTCTTGCCCGTCGGACCAGGCCTTCAAAGTACGCCGGCTCCCCGGCCAAAAAAAGGTACGCGGGGCTTGCGGCGCAAAAAAATAGAGAGTCGCGGCATCAAAACCCGGCATCAACATGGACGTAATCCCAGAACCAGAATTTCCAAGAAAGGCCGCACCCATTTATGGCGGGGACTGTCGCTTACCAACCTGGCTTGGATTGTGGCTCAGATGGTTTTGGACTGGCCTAAACGCGTAGCCCAACTTCGCAAGAGCGCTAGTGGCATACATTGCAGGATCCAACCTGTGCTTGCACCTCTTGAACCAGCTGCGAAGCGCAGGCGGGGCGAAAGAATTGAGACTTGCTAGCTGCACTTGCTCTGCAAGCGCTGCTTGGAAGGCTAGAGCTGCAAAAATGGCCACAGCACCTGCAATCTCTCTGTCTCCTTGTCCAAGTCTTCGGTCAGGTCAAAGGAATCCCTGGCCACGTCCATTCTCTTAGCTGGCCAGTAGCTCAGTGGCACAAGCAATCAGGCTCATTTAGCAGTCCTTCTGGTCTCCGGAGTGACAGTCTTGAACATCAGGCTGAACCTCATGCAGCAAGCACAAGCACAAATTCTTATGTTCCGAAGCATGCCTCTCTTATTTTGATTTCTTTCGAGCACTTGGAGCAGACTCTGAAATCATTGCAACCTCAGAACCTGATACCTACCCGAATCAGCTGCGGAAAGAAACTGTTTCCAACAACCGCTGCACTGAACGCCTTCTACAGGAACTCAGGAGCGTTGGTCCTCAAGTCACGCCTTGCCTCTCTGTGCCTTGATCTTCTCGGCACTCTCACGAATGGCAAGGTGATCTTCCATGTTCGCCCGGTTCACAAAGTTTCTCATTAACCTGGGCTGTCCGTTTTTCAGATGCCCGGCTCAAACTCGAAAACATTTCGTGGGTTACATGGAAACCCAACCACAAAACCAACCAACCCAAAAACATATCGAAACCTGAGGAACCGGATGGAAATGGAAACCCAAGCACCACACCAGCAAAAAAACACAAAAAAAAAGCTTCGGGACCCGGATGGCCTTCGGTCTTCCAAGTCACGTGATCGACGGCGTCAAGCTCTTAGCCCAGTGCCACCACCTCGCCGGCAAGACCACCGTCTCGCCCTCCTCCACGACCACGGAGTACGCCTGGGCGCGCCGGGCCTCCGGGAACTTGGCGTAGTCCGCGCTGCTGGGGTCGAAGAGAGAGGTGCGCCCATCCGCCTCGTCCACCGGAAAGCTGTGCAGGAACTTGGTGTCTGAGGGCGGGTAGCAAATGAACTGCTTCCTGCCACGAATCTGGGAAAGCCACACGTGCGTCGCATAAGTGTCGTGGTGAAGCCTGGACACAGTCCCCGCGGGCCCCATGAAGATCTTGGTGAGACTTGCGTTGAACACCTTTGCAGGCCCGTCCCCGGCTGGGATGGAATCTGAGACACAGTAGAGGCGGTCAGACACATCCGCGAGAAGCTCGGGATGATCCAGGAACGGGGCCCAGCCATTGGCATAAAACACCCGGCCCTCCACGGCCAAGCCGTGGAAAGCGCTGGGCTGCCCCAGGACGTAACGTACAAACTCCTTGAGAGGCGCCTGCACGGTGCGGATGTCCCCGCGGTCGCAGTGCCGGAAGAAGGGGGCCAAGTCGCTGCAGGGCATCATCTCCTCCCCATATCTGGAGGCCATCCATTCGAAGGTCCACTTGCTTCTGGCAGGCCATCCGCGCTGCGCGTCGGTGAGCACCACGGGGCAGCTGTCTTTGAAGCTCTTCTCCATTTCTCCCACGGAAAGTCCCTGGCATTTCTTGACAGGCAACGCACCCTGCACCACGACTTCGGGGAGAGACATGGGCATTCTTGGCAAGTTGGACTTGCTGATGTTCACGAGTGCGTCAACAGGCAGCCAAAGGTGTGTGCCTTGCGCGTGCTGAGCGGCAGCAATGAGTTCTGCAGTGCTCTGCCTTCGCAGGAAGAACTTGCTTTGCCAGGCAACCATCCCACCGAAGCCCTGCTTCGCGCAAACATCCTTGGCGACCTCGGGGCCCGTGGTCACAACACCTGCATCGCAGCCGGGCATGGCATCGGTATGAAAGAGGATCACCCACTCCTGCGACTCCTGCGACTCCGAGCGCCGGCACTGTGCACGGTGCTGCTTCCAGGCTTTCTGCTGGCAGCTTGGTGAGCAAAAGCGAACCCTGCGGCATCCTCCGCATAGAAATGCAGCATCATAACTCCCACAATGATAGCATAAAGTCTTCGCAGCTTTTGCCACACCATTGCCAAATGGGATCTCTTTTAGGTAGGTCATCCTGGACAGCGTTCACATTGCTCCACTGGACAACTCGGGCCACTAACTTTGTCTTTTCAGCTAGGTAGTGCTGCAAGTTTGCCTTGCGCAAAGGGCTTCTGCGAAAACATAGCTGCTCTGCAACCAAGTTTTGTTTCAATAGGACAGTCCGTAACTTGAGCCCGAGCGAAACACGGTGGTCGCCTCAGCAAGTCAGCCAAGGATGGCTAAGCCAAGTTCAGGAAACCTTGTCTGGGAGGGAGTGGTGGAAAGTCCCGCCGGTTGTTTTGGTCGCGACGCCTCTAAGTGCTCGGCTCCAATCTTGTGATTTTCCCATCTCGATCCGAATCAATCCTGCCAAACGGACGGTGCGGATCAGGATTCTATGCCGTTTGTGCCCCCCCGAAGAAACAAAAGGAGAAAAAGAAGAAGAAAAACAAACAAACACGGCAAAAGTGCTGACTGTGGTGTAGGTCTAGGTGTGTGTGTGTGTGTGTGTGTGTATATGTATACATATATATGTGCATGTACATGTCTCCCCGGCTTCAGGATGTTCACGCTGAGTTCGTGTGACCCGAAGTGTGTGCTAGCCTCCGGATCTTCCAAGCTAACGTGTCCACTGGGAGAAGTGGAACACCGACCGCTATCATGTTGAAGCTCCGACATTCTCAGTCTTGCGCGAGAGAAAAATACCTGAATGGTGAAGGAGGCGGCGTGAGTCAGTCGCCTTTGACATCTGCTAGCAGAATTCTAAAGAGCCCATTGGGAGTTCCTGCACCATCTTCTTGGATACCCCATCTTGATCACAGAAGGTAGAAGTTCCGCCAAGATACCTTCAATTAACTGGCAGTGTTGCAGGAACCCCAAATTGCCTATCTTTTCATGCGGAAACTTAGGCAATCTTGCAACTCTAATTCGGAGCCAGTTACAACTAAACCGTATGGAAAAAGAGAAAAAAGGGCGAGAAGTGGAGTCAGTTCCCACACACAACACAAGGGCTCTCCCAATAAAATGGCTTAAATGCTGGCCTGCACACACGCACACAGACCCTGCAACATGTAAAGTACGATGTAAATCATCTGAATTGGAAGTGGTTCTCGGCACGATGAGCAAGAACTGTACAAGTTCTGCAATTTGGAGACACAACTGAAAATTGTCAAAACTTCATGCAACATCAACCAGTTAAATCAAACAACTGCACGCTTGAAATGGGATGCCCATTTCGTTCGCGGCAAAACGTTTGAACTACACCAATCCCGAGATAGTCTGGTACGGCCGTGTACGTGCATGTGTGTATATATATATATATATATATATATATATGTTCGGTTTTGCGCATAAAAGGGACTGTGCAACAGCTGGAAATCGCGAGAACGGGGGAATAGAGGTGGGCAGAAAGCATGGTGTGCTACCACCTCTGTCGCAACACGGTCTCGGAGCGTCTCTTTCCGGTCCACCTTCAGAAGACTCGCGAAACCCTCTGTGGACTTGCAGGGAGTCGGTCTTGAAAAACTCATGTGTTTGTTGCACTTGCTTGTTCACTCTCGGGGCCTGGAGAGAGCGACAAAGACAAAGAGGAAGATGAAGAGAAAGGGAAAAAAGAAAGAGAAAAAGAGAAGAGAAAAAGAGAAGGAGAAAAAGAGAAAGAGAAAGAGAAAGAGAAATAAAAGAAAGTGAAAAGAGACAGAAGATAAGGTCCAAGTCACCGGCAAAGGCATCCTCAATGTCAAAGTCACCATAAAGTCGTTAAAGTCAGCATCATGCAAGTCACCACTAAGAGAAAGAGAAAAGAACAACAGAAAGAGAAAGAGAAAAGGAAGAAAGAGAAAGGGAAGAAAGTGAAAGAGAGAGAGAGAGAGAAGGGAGAAAAGAAGCCTGTTCCAAGCTATTATGTTTCAAACTTCCGCCGCCCAGGCTCTTCCGGAGTCTACTGGAATCCGGTAGTACGGGCCACACTGTTCACAATGCTTCACGGCTCTCCCCACCCTAGACACCACCAACCAAACTGGGCAGCGCCGCAGCTTGAAGATCTGCTTGGCTTTGACCGGATCGTAGTGCAGACCAAGCCTTGCACTGAACTCCCCACAGGATCCATCAAACACAAAAGTGCTAGTAAACTCTGAATCCAGAAAGGATGAATACCGGAAGGGAGCACATGAAACGGCGAGGCATCCACATGTGTGCGTCAGTTGTTTTTCGGGAACCCCCCAAAAACATGTGGTTGTCCTTGTTTACTAAATTAAAATAGAAAAGGGACCCAAAAACAACATGTTTTGTTCTTGGTTGTTTCCTTCTTTTTGTCTTAACACCACCAAAACAGCCGCACCAACTCCCCAAAGGCCAAGCCGCCGAGAGTTCAGAAGCTCATTGAAGTGCTCCGAGGTGATGAAAGGGTTCAACGCATCGAAGCACGGGTCAGGAGACACCTCGACTTGCCATCGCTTCCAGAGATGCACGGAATGCGAATGGAATGAACCCGAGAAAACCCAACTGGTCGTTTCCTTTAAGGGAATCCTTCTGCTGCATTCTCAAAACCTGAAGAAGAAGAAACAAAGACGAAAAGGGGAAAGAAAAGAAGGAGAAGAAAAAAAAAGAAACCACGATAAAACCCATCCCCTTCTGGTGCATTCCCAAACCCTGTAATGAACCCGAGAAGACCCATCCAACTGGTGGCTTCATTTAAGGGAATCCCCCTTCTGGTGCATTCCCAAACCCTGTAATGAACCCGAGAAAACCCATCCAACTGGTGGCTTAATTTAAGGGAATCCCCTTCTGGTGCATTCCCAAACCCTGTAATGAACCCGAGAAAACCCATCCAACTGGTGGTTTCCTTACGGGAAGCCCGCTCTGGTGCATTCCCAAACCCAGTAATGAACTCGAGAAAACCCATCCAGCTGGTGGTTTTCTGTTAGGGAATCCCGTTCTGGTGCATTCCCAAACCCGGTAATGAACCCGAGAAAACCCATCCAACTGGTGGTTTCCTTTAGGAATTCCCTCCTGGTGCATTCCCAAACCCTGTAATGAAACTGACAAAACCCATCCAACTGGTGGTGTCCTTTCACGGAATCCCCTTCTGGTGCATTCCCAAACCCTGGGTCATTCCCTACCGAGAACCAGCAAGATGAAAGCAAGGCCTGAATTTTGGGCCGTCCGCTTTCAGATCCCTGAAAGGAAATCGAACACTTTTAGTGGGTTAAATGGAACTACCACGAAACACACTGGAAAGCTAAAAATATTTCTGGGGATGGCCGGGAACCACCAAGAGTTGCATGGCTTTTCTTTGGACCGAGGTGTCTCAAAATACGGAACCCTGAAAGTTGGGTGGGTTTCCTTTTTCGAAACCAATCAAAAAGGGGTTCCCCTTAAAACAAAACGCACACAGCTTCTGTCAAGCTGGTTTCTCTCTGTAACGCCATGCAAGAAATCGTGGGCTAGCATAACACCAGGTGTTAAGCTCATGGCATCTCCAACTCGTCGCACAAGTCGCTGGACCAGTTGCTCCAGCACCTCGCAGTGGAGAAGCTCGAATCTCGCAAAGGTCTGTGCTTGACAAATGTCGAACAAACCAACTCTGACAGAAAAACATCGGGAAACTCCAGGCCGCCTTCTGCTGAGGCCCACTGTCAAGCAATCTACACCAGTGGCAAGAGAGTACTGCAGTAAGCAAGCAGCGAGTGCGAAAATGGGCAGCAACTCCATTACTCTCCACTCCCATCAACTTGCTGGTGCTGAGCAGGGCATGAGGGAATGGACCTGCGGATTCCCTTAAACGAAACCATCAGTGGGATGGGTTTTTCTGGGGCTCATTCCATTCTCATTCGCTGCTGAGCACCACTTTTTCATCCATTTCCACAAGACCTGTTGCCGGGCCTCGCGACCAACTCCTGGCTCGATATGATCAAAAGGTCCCTACATGGGATGACCATTGGTTGGAAAACCACGACAACCACATGTGAGAGAAGTGACCCATGGTCAAAACTGGGGGCGCTTAAATGGGGAGATTGATCCCCCATCTGCACCCAAGTTGTGCCAATATGCTCCATCTGTGCGCCTCCCGGTGGTCCCAGGGCGGGAGCTGTGCCTGGCAGAAGCACCGCAGCAACTTTCTTGGCCCAAGTCGCAGGCGTTTTGTGGGGCCTGGGTGCACAGGCGGCTGCTCATTTGGGCTGCTGGTCAGCGTTGGTCCCAGCACCACCTCGGCCGACCCCACAAAACCGGGGGCCCAGCGCTGCATTTGGGACTGCCCCGTTTTTGCTTGGGAGTTGTTTCTGGATTTTCGGTCTTGCCCTCCAACAAGCTCTTCTCCCAGCCCTGAGCGCAGAACTGACATCACTGCATCGGAAGGCAAGCGATCCTTGTCGCCCGAATGCCTCGCATGGCTTGAGGATGTCTCGCTCGGCTCGCTCGGCTCGTGCCTCGTTTGGACGGTCTCCTCCGAGCACGCGGCCAGCAGGTACTTCCACAGCCGGTCCTGCAGAGGGCGCAACGTGCGAGGCGAACGACAGGACGACTGGTGCACTCCAGCTGTGATGGTCGCAGCTGGCGCAGAAACTGAAGCATAGCTTCACGAAACTCCTGGCAGGAGGGTTGCACGCACCCACCCACCCACCCACCCACCCACCCAGCCAGCCAGCCAGCCAGCCAGCCAGCCAGCCAGCCAGCCAGCCAGCCAGCCAGCCAGCCATCCACACACACACACACACACACATACACGCACACACGCACCACCAACCCTCGCATATGCGCACATGCACACACGCGCACCCCTCACTCTTAGCTTGCAGAGGGAGGAAAGCCAGCAACTTCTTTGCGGAGCCCCGCCTTCTCTGTGACAGCGACGCCAGAGAAAAGCTGTTTGATGCTCAGCCCAGACTCCTTCAGCCAGACGTGTAGACTAAATGAAACACAAACTACTCAAAACAGTCCCACAGCGCTCCTGCACAGCCACAGCGAAATGCTGGAATGTGTCCTTCACCCAGGCATCGGACACGTAGCATTTGGCGCCAGCCTCAAGGCAAGTGCGCCAGCCTCCTAGCCTCCCGCGGTGTGGGGGCGTGCTAAGGGCCCAACTGCTTCCAAGGCATTCTCAAGCCTGGCAAGTGTCCAGACTCTGGATGTATTCTGCTCACCTTGAATTCACCATCTTTCTTGAGTTCCAACCAGGCGCTCCGGTCTGCAAGTCTGAAAGCAGGCCGGGCTTGCTCTTGCACGCTCATCCAACCCGAACCAGAAGCGTTGATCCGCTGAAAAACCTCCAAGCGAGTCTACCCAGAACCATGCTTCAAGAACTAAAAAGGCGGATATCCGCAGCTATTTATGGTAAGGGGATTCTCCCTTACTAACCTTCATCAATCCCCGGGTTTTGAGCAGAGGGGAAAGTTGCAGCTTCGCGTGCGCGGCACCTGGGAGACCTCCCGCTTTGTGAACTCCACGTCCTGCATACAGAAAACCAGGATGAACTAAATGCGGGAGAGACACCCCCCTACTGTGGGTGGTTGCGAAATCCATTTCGCACCACTTGGAAACCCTGGTTGAAACCATTGTTCATTGGTATTTACAGGGGAAGCATCCTTCCAGGGTTTCTTAGGTGGTGCGAATTGGATTTCGTCCATCCACAGCATTGCTACACTGGGGCTGAGTAAATTGGGGTCAACATTACAGGTCAAAGCGCACAGCATCCTTCAAGTAGGTCTTGATCAGCTTGGAGAACTCCGCCAAGTCTAAATGATGATCCTGCGTATGTGGCATCCAAATCCCATGAGCTAAAGAACTAACAGGCAGCGGCTCACAGCGGTCCCAATTCTTGTCCGCAGTGGCATAGACTCGACGAACGCCGCCACGTGCATGAAACTTCCGGTAGAGGTGCATGGCCAACTCGGCGAGATGCGCCGAGTCCAGTGGCTTCAAGTAACTGACATGACGCATCCAAGCACTGCTCGTGAAATGGCAGTGGCTCAAAAAACCGGAATTTACCAAAATGGAACCTTGGTAAGTGGAAACATGGACCAAAACCCGCGTAACCCCTACCGTTTAATTTTGAGCCACAGCCAAATACGGCCACTGACTGCATGCCACAAAACCTCTGCATTCCAGTGGTTTCACATAGGCTCCAGGCCACCTCGTAATACTCATCGGTCATCTCCCCATTCGAATTGCAGCCTCAATCCGCAGGAGCAATCGGAGTTGATCAATTTTCCTGGCCCCCAAACGACCGCGGGTAACTAATTGCGCTTGGTGGGAACTATCAATCATCCTTTTAGTGGTTTTACAGTATCAGTCATCCCATGCAATCAGACCTATTGATCAACCCCCCAAACGGAATGGCGGAATGCTTGGGCTCATGCCGATCATGCGCATGAACTCGAACAAGTCGATTTTCCCAGACCCATCCTCATCCGCAAAAAACCTCGGCGGTGAGGCACTGCCGCACAGTCTCCGCAAATGGCTGTGGTTGTCAAAACCCATGGGATCCCATTTTGGGGTAGGTGCACCACCCATTTTCGAACCTATCTTAGTGGGGATTGGGATGTTCACCGGGGGTACGATTTGGATTTTGACCCATGGCCAAATCCATCCACCAAGGCGCCAGAGCCGGGTAAGCTGGTCGCTCTTAATGGACGGCTCAAACCTTAGCCACGGCCAAGTGCCCAGGTTCAAGAAATGACCCATGCTTCATGGACATTCCTGTTGCCTCAAGGGAATTATCTCCAAGACAGACCTTACCTTTTCTCGACATCCTACAATGTTGCTTTAGCCGCTAACCGCACGTTCGATGGCATGTTCCGTCCTTCGCCATCGCAAGGGTCGCGCTTGCAATGTTCCATTGTGTGCCACAGTCACTACGAGGAACGACAACTCTGAACAAGATCTTGCGCTGCGGTGGGGCTGGTTTGGTGCTTGCAAGTATTCACTCCGGGCGAATGTTGTGGGCTTTGTTCGTCCCGCATGGCACATGCTCAAACTCGGCTAGCTCGCGTACATTCACCCTCTCTCCTAGCCACTGTTTGGTTTGTTGGTTCAGTGAAGAGATATCCCAACTGGACAATCGCCTGTCAAATCCTGAATCAAAGCAGCGGGCTATAGAATAAGAGCGTGCCATTCCTTTCCGCCAAAGCGCTGGCGGATGACGGCCTTGAAGGAATCCTCTGTCAGCACGCCTTAAAAGTTCAGCCGACCGACGAAGGCCAAAACCCACGGAATGCGCGACATGTCACGAGAATTATTCGGGCTCCCGCCGTTGGTGGCATGCGACACAAAGACGTTTCTGTACGAGAAGCTGCCCACCTCGCAACGATGCTCAAAGACTTCACACGACGGAGGTGACCCAGGCAGGGGCCCCAATATGGCCATGGGTCAAAATCCCGTACCCCCAGTGAACATCCCAATCCCCACTAAAATAGACGGGTGGTGCCCAGCCATATCTTGCTGATACGAAGGGAATGTGGTTGAATGAACCCAGGAATTGGTCGGGTCTTACAGGAAGCCACCGGTTGGATGGTTGAAATGGTCATTCGGAATGACTCATTCCCCCAGCCATGGGCAAGCCTCCATGGCCATTGAGGTTCGCCCGAAGACATACCCGGCCCAGCGATCACCCAAATCCGCCAGGCCAGGCGTGTTCAGCCCCATCCTTGGCGAGGTCTGCTGGCGGTGTTGGCTCGGTTGCTGTCTGCTCCCCTGCTAAAAGTTTAACTTTTATTGGTTGAAGGGAAAACCCATTAGTTGGCAAAAAGTTAAGGTCCTAGCATCCAAGCAAAATGCACCAATGTTGGTGTATCCATGACTGAGCTCAGCACTTCCGCAGCCGAGATATGCTTGGGTGCATCACGTTGGGATCCTTCAAACAACATGTGCCCACATGCCCAAATAAGTGGGTTTGTTTGTTTGTTTGTTTGTTTGTTTGTTTGTTTGTTTGTTTGTTTGTTTGTTTGTTTGCTTGTTTGTTTGTTTGTTTGTTTGTTTGTTTGCTTGTTTGTTTGTTTGTTTGGTTGTTTGTTTGCTTGTTTGTTTGTTTGTTTGTTTGTTTGTTTGTTTGTTTGTTTGTTTGTTTTCTTCTGGCCCCCCCCAACTGGTGGTTTTCTTTTTGGTTTCCCTTTGCAACCGACCGAACCAGGGGTTCCATAAAACATGACACGCCCAAGTGGTGACATGCCCACCTTCCGGATCCTGTCCTTAGTCCACCAGCTTTTTCGTCCGGTGACGCCTCTCTCTGCTGCTTTGAGGAGCCAGCAATATCGTCCAGCAAGCGCCTGATCTTCTGATCCCTCCCATCCAGCATCTCCTCCCATGCTGCAGTTGCATTCTTCTCGCGCTGCCAGATGCGAGACATCACAAACAACTTGCACAAACCTGTACGGTCCTTCAGCCGACGGTTCTCTCGAAAGGAGTGCGCCAACTGGCAAAAAAAAGAGCACACGGCGCAAACCATGGTTGCCATGGTGGGGCGGTCTTACCAACACAGTCAAAAGTGGCGTACATTTCTGCACCCCCACCCCTGCGTACATTAAAGAAGGGGGAAGTCACGCTGTCTTGACCTAACATCTTGATTGACCAGCCATGGGCAGTTGTTGCTGCGGGAAGCATGGCCCCAAGGGTTGGGTTGTCTTGACCTAACATTGACATGGGTGTGGCTCAAAAGTAAACAGGAGAGGTTACGCAGGTTTTGGCCCCTTCCACTTCCCTCCATTTTGGAATTCCGGTTTTTTGAGCCACCACATGACCAAAGAGTCGCGCCTTGGACCTCAAGTCTTCCACCTGCTCCGCCAGCCGATCAGCTCCTCCGACGTCGCAAACGCCGCGTCGACGGCACGTCGACGGCGCGTCTGGCAGTGCCTCTGGCTCCGACTGGCCGGGAGGTCGGCACCTGTCTCTCTGGGAGCCTCTCAAAAGTAGCCATCCCTTTGTGGCTGTGGTTGTCAAAACCCATGGGATCCCATTTTGGGTAGGTGAATTCACCACCCAAATTATAGAGCCTATTTTAGTGGTTGGATTGAATCGCATGTTCACTGGGGGTACGATTTGGATTTTGACCCATGGCCTTATAGTCTCTGGTGCGTTGAGAACCCCCCGAAAGGTTTGGACCCTACTTTGATCTTTGATCTCCGAGGTGGAAAAAGGCGCCTGCGTGCCTGCGTGCTTGCGTACGTACCTGTAGGTACGTAGGTATGTAGGTATGCAGGGATGCAGGTATGCCGCTAGGCAGGTATGTAGGTACGTAGGTATGTAGGTATGCAGGGATGCAGGTACGCCGCAAGGCAGGTATGTAGGTATGTAGGTATGTAGGTATGTAGATAGGTGGGTATGCATGCATGAATGCATGCGTGCGTACGTGCACGCGTGTAATGTATGTGTGTAATGTATGTATGTATGTATGTATGTATGTAATGTAATGTAATGTAATGTAATGTAATGTAATGTAATGTAATGTAATGTAATGTAATGTAATGTAATGTAATGTAATGCAATGCAATGTAATGTAATGTAATGTAATGTAATGTAATGTAATGTAATGTAATGTAATGTAATGTAATGCAATGTAATGCAATGTAATGTAATGTAATGTAATGTAATGTATGTATGTACAGAGAGGCAGGCTGGAGCAGAAAAGCCTGTAGTGCAGCGAACTGCATTTCACCTGCTAGTTGAATGGAAACCCCCGACTCCACCCACTAAAACGCTCAAAACGCTAAAAGGAAAAGGGCGGCTAGGACCACCAAGATATGTCTCGAAACCCCCGACTCGTCGGCCCTTGATGCCACTGGCTTCGGCACCATTCGTCACATGTCCGCATTGTCGTGCAGAAGGCCGCACCACGCCCATACCAGGTGCCCTGTTAGCTGGGCCGCATTACGTTTCCCACTCGAGCGGAACTTGGAGCAACCCTGTGAAAGAAGCCGTAAGTGGCCGACCTCACACGCCGGCATGATGAATCAGCCCATGAGCTACAGCACTGCGATTTGGGTCTCAAACGTTCAGCGTTGCTTCTGCGCGAGCATTGCGGAAGCCAGCTTTGCCACACATGAGGATGGGCTGGGGACTGATTGGCATGGCTTGTTGCAGACGTCTTCGGCGGCTGGGACGCTTTCGATGCACCGTGAATGCTCACCAGCCGAAACCAGGCTGCACCTGCATTCCCAGCATGACCCTCATCCACTGGCAAAGTGGCGGCAACATGCGAGATCCCCAAAAAAAAAGAACACCAAATCACGCACAAAAAAGAACAACGAAATCCCAGCGGTTTATGGCCTGCACCGGCGAGACATGCGCCGAGGAGGGCCTGCCAGCCTGAAGCGCCAACCCCATCCGAAGCGGACACGCAAACCCAAACGCGCGTGAGATCAAAAACACCCCGCCTCGTCCACCTCCAAGTGGCACCTCTGGAAACCAACTCCGAGCTGCACATGTTGGCGTGTCTTTTTCAGGAAAACTTTCGAAAAAAAGGCCCAAGGAACCCCCTTGCCGAATCAAGTCTGAGTCTTGCACAGAAAGTCATCAATGACGTCGCCTCAGCGAAGGAAAGCGTCAAGATTGCCCGGCTTTGCACATCTGGGCGACGGACCAGTGTCTGTCACCGGCTTCGATGGATCAGGAATGGCATAGCCGGGCTCCCTGTCTACCTTGGCCACACGATGCCAAGCGGCATAATGCAACTGAAGGCCAATGAATACCTCATATGTCGAGTATGTCACATGGTCTGAAACCCATTTCAACTATGAAAAGTGCACTCAAAGGGGTGAGCAATCAAGTAGGTGCCTTGCATCGTGGTGTTTCTCACACTCTCTGGTATAGTCTGCCACCTCGTCGTACTGGTGAGCCTGTTGGGTTTTGGCCGGCTTCGCCTCATGCTTGTCAATCCCTAGGAGTACCAGTCATGGTTCAAGTATCCCAGGCTTTCGACCATGCCCACAACCAACCTGGCCTGATGCCAAGGCTTGTAGGCAAAGATCGTCCTGACGTGGGCAAGAATAAAAAAGGCAAAACTCTGGCGGCAGGTCTGTTGACGAGGTACTGAGACACACAGAAAATGCCTTGAAACCATGCCACAAGCAGGGCTCCACTTTTTGACTAACCCAAGATAGACTTAAACCCAGGGCTTCTCCTTTTGGGGGAATGAATGAGCCACCCCTGGGTTTGCGTCTACACTTGGGTAGTCAAAAGAGGACCCTGGCCACAAGTAGTTCCCACATCGCCCTCAAGCCAAAAAAGGTGGCCTGAGGGCTCTCTCGTCATCTCCTTCCCGATCTGGGCTCCTGCGCTTTGGTCGAAGACTTGCCGTCAAGCCGTCTTTGCTCCAACCCGCCTCAATAAGCTCGGCGGTCGCGGAGACCTTGAAACATGCAAAAGCTTCAGCTCATGTCCGTTACATGCAGGGGTTGAGGTAAATGTTCCCTTCGGAAGGAGGAACAAGCGGAGGAAGAAGAGAGGAAGAAGGAGGAACAAACAAAGGAAAGAGCGAAAGGAACAACGAACAGATGGGGATGAACAACACAACAAGGAAAACGGAGACAAACAGCAGAAGTAAAAGTGGGGCCGCCATCCGAATTCGCAAGAAGCGGCCATCGGAAGAGCTCCCCTGCCCTTCTTCATCATTCGAGACTCCCTACGCGTCTCCGACCCTGGATAACCTTTTCCCACGTAGTTGAAATATCCTCTTTTTCGTGGTACCTTTTCCAGTGTGGCAACATAGCACCTTCTTTTTAGGCAGTTGTCCAACCAATTGTCCTCCCATGTGGGGACCTTTTGATCAGTGGGTCACATGGCCATGGGTCAAAAGCCCGTACCCCCAGTGAACATCCCGGCCCAATCCCCACTAAAATAGACTAAAATGGGTGGTGCACCTACCCCAAAATGCGATTCCATTGGTTTTGACCCACAGCCAGACATGTCGCGCGCAAAAGAACTCGCGCCTCTTCGGTCGCCGCCGAGGCCTCAACTGCCATGAGTTCAGCCCGAGCGCAGCGCTGGCATCTCCAAAGGGCCCCGTGCACGCGAGGGCCCCGAGCGGACCGAGGCCTGAAGCGATTGGCACCCAAGCTCAGAGCCAAGGGGAAAGTCAGGCCAGGCCGGGGCCAGGGTGCGTGAGCTTGATTCCCAGCAAACTCGCACTCGTGAGAAGGTACGATGAAGCCATCACAGAATTGGGGAACGGCACTGACCGCAACATGTGCAAGCCGAATCCAACGAGTCAAGCCGTTGATTCAACGCCGTTGAGGTCGCGGCCCATGTGGCTCACAGGCTGCCCAGCGGCCGTCGTCTTCCGACCTGTGCGCACTTGACAGGAAAAGGCCGCGCAAGGACAGCTTGATGTTGACCCGGGATTCATAAACCCGTCCCATTATTCGGGGGTGTTCCCTCCAAAAGTGATGAATCCCCCCTAAAAGGGGACACCCCCCTATAATCAACCAGGGGTCTATCAATCCGGGGTTAAGATTACCAAGCAGGCCGGCTCGACATGGCGGAGAGAATCCACACTATCGTACATCGCTGGTCTTCACCAGCCCACAGCCCATGTCCCTCTGGGGCAAGTGGCTCTGGCTGTGTTAGCCTCATGAGCCGAATGCAGGCGAGACCGACAAGTTCATGCCAGCCATGATGCGCCAAACTGATCAAGCATGTGGGCCAGCAAACAGTGGTGGGGCTAACCTGTACTTTGATCAGAGCTTTACTGGCAATTACAGCAGTGACCGCCGTCACGAGTTTGGTCATCATATCCCAGCCATGGAACCTAAGCAGCTCCTCTTGGAAGGAACGTTGTGCGTCTAAACCATGCACTCACTCGCTCGCTTTTCTCGCTCGTCCAAGTCGTAGATTGCCCACTCGAGCCTCAGAAACGGTGCATAACATCGAGTCGAGCGTGATCTGTCTAGAACGCATGTCCTCCTCCAAATCCTCGTCACAGCCCAGGTTCGGTTCGGGTTCGGCGGGGCCCTTTCTTTTTTTTTGGGGGGGGGTTCGGGTTCGGGTCCAGGTTCGGGCTCAAAAGGGGAAAACCACAAAAACATATTGCGTCTCTAGCTCGACCCTTTGTGGCCACTCGCCTCTAGTGCTGCGGACATGTGGTCTTTCTGACCCACGAGTGTCACCACTTCTACGGCCTGTGGTGCGCAACCTCCTTTGCAACAAAGCACCTTGAAATGAGCCAAGTGGGGCGGAAGTAGCAAACTGGCGATTGAGCCAACCTAGAGCCATTTTTATTTTGGTAGCCCCGAGGCCCGAGCACCCGAGGGCAAGCGACGCCTCGAATGTCGAGAAAAGATCACCATTGGCCAACAGTAAAACCTATGATCATGCTCGTTCGCACTGATTGCTTGCTCACAAGCTATCGTGCGTGATCAGCGTGCATATTGATGGCAAGCTGCTATCATCGCTTTGGAACTAAGAATTGTGCTACCTCCCCTTGCATAGGCATCTGCAAGTGAACTTCATGAGTTTGGACGCCTTTGAATGCCTTTGAGCCTTCTTTCACACGATTTCAGGCATCGCCAGCAAACAGCTTCTGCACAGCATCCCTGTCCATCCATGCGTTTACCATCCAGCATCCCAACAAGCATGCATCACCAGCATCTCCGGCATCCCCAGCATTTCCAGCAACCCCAGCATCCCCAGCAACCCCAGCATCCCCAGCAACCACATCCCACATCTGCCAGCATCCCTAGCATCATCAGCATACCCAGCATCCATCATCCCCACCATCTCTAGCATCTCCCGCATCCCGAACACAGCATCCCCAGCATCACCAGCATCCCCAGCATACATCCCCCCTAGCATACATCCCCCAGCATACATCCCCCACCATACATTCCCCAGCATACCCCAACATCCCCAGCATCACCAGCATCCCCAGCATCATCCCCAGCATCATCCCCAGCAGCATCCCCAGCATCACCAGCATCACCAGCATCACCAGCATCACCAGCATCACCAGCATCCCCAGCATCCCCAGCATCCCCACCCCACCATCCCCAGGTTTCAGCATTGATGCTTTTGGCATCGAAATTTGCCAAGTTCCATGTGGCAGTCGAAGCCACTACACAGAACCACACACGCACACCCATAAGCAACCATGCGCTACAGTCCAACGAAAAAGATAAAACTAAGCAAGGTAAAAGTCTGCGCAGTGAACAGGGCATTTCGAACTTTGTGATGATGAACTCTTAACCTGAAATAGGCCAATCCTGCTCAATCCTCAGCTTGCTTGAGGTGTATTGACTGAAATAATGCTAATGGTTGCCTGAGCTTGTCACAACTGTTGGTTTAGAAAGCCAAAGGGCCCGCTGAAGCCGGGAATGAGTTTGGCCAATCCTACTGAAATTTGACTTGACCTTAGCTTGAAGCGGCTGATCTCACGAATGACAGCTTGTTCCACTCAAAGGATAGCCTGATGAGAGCTGGCAAGGCCGGATGTGATTAGCTTCGAAGTGCATACTTTCCCTTAGAACTCCGTGCCACTTTCGCCCACACACTTTCTCATCCAATGTCAGAAACCAGCGAAGCTTGTGACACAACCTCTCAACTACCTGCCTGGAGCCCTCCCATTTGAGCTCTACTCGAACGCCACCGCCCGAGCTGTGCTTTCCGAGGTGCAAATGCCAAGAGCTCAGGCGCCACGCAGGCGCCGAACCTGAAGGCACAAACATCGCAGGGCTCAACTTGACCAACGGACCGCGCCTGAAGCCGAGCTCATCTCCGCATCGAGCTGGATCCAGCGGGTCCCAGCTTTTGCAGCTGCCCAGCTGCAACTTGTACTTGTGGACCAGGCATATGATCTCATCCACGTATAAGATCTGATACTGACCACCAGCCAGACATGCATCCGTCCCATGGAGAGCATCTCCTCAACGAACGAACTCTCGACTTCTTGGATTCCTCAAAAGCCCTGCACGCCTCTCAGTGGATCAGTTGAGTGAGCGTCGCAGACATGGACGCAGTGGTTCTCAGTTGCTCTCACTTGGATGATCTCGGATTCGGACTCCTTGAACACGACATACCAACTGAACACAAGCGATGCAAGTGATCTGAAGCCGCTCCTGCAAGGTGACTCTGCAGCCAACTGTGCCAGTCTCGCTTCACCTCAGCACATGTTGGAAGGTCGCAGAAGAAGACTTGCTGGCGCTCAGGGAATGAGAAACTGGAATGCCTACCCATCCCCAATGTGGTTTCCTTCTTTCGGGGACAGGACCCTAGGTTCCTTCCACTTCTCATTCTCCTCGCAGCTTGCGGATGAGCGCAGAGCTCGCTTTCAGCTCTGCAATCTGCCACGGCCTGAGCCGAGACGGAGCTCACGGAGCTGTGACTGGGGCCAAAAGAGGACAGCACCCGATGCCGGCAGCTTCCAGTCGGAGCAAAAGATCTGAGGCCTGGCCATCGGTCGTTTTTGGGGCCTTGGTACCCCCTTTTTGGTTGGTGTCTGAAGGGAAACCAAGAGAAAAGCCACAATTTGGTCCCCAAAAAAAAAAAAAAAAAAAAAACGGCACGCCCATCTTTCACTTCGAGTTCTCTTTCGTCCGCTTGCCTTGTTTCGCCCTCCTCGCGCCCTCGCGCCTGCGCGGCCTGTGGGGCAACCCCGCGAGTGTCCGGCACACCTGCGCTCGCGGGGCCGCGTGCCATGCGCTCGCGCATGGTCCATCGACCTAGGCGGGAGGCCGAGGACCGCTGCAGCCTCAGGGGGACACGACTCCAAAAAGGGCTGGAAGAAGCGAAGCATCTCGCAAAATATGTCCTGCTTTCCGGTCCGGCCCATCGGTTGGAACCGTTCTATGCTGTTTTTTTTTCCAGAAAGGATGTCCATTGAGTATTTGGCAGGATCAGACCACACACACACAAGTTACTTAAGAAAAGGAAGTGTTTGGAACAGCAAAGGTGAAACCTTGGACACCTAGGGCTGCTGCGGAAGAGGCTGACGCTGAAGCTCAATGCGTCTCTCTCTGGGGCTCCTTCCAATGTCCCCTTCTGGTCTCTCAAGTGGCCGAAGCATGGCAGGCCTTGATGGACTCCCTTCTGCCTCGTGCTTCTCTGCAAAGCCTTCAAGCCATTCATTTAACAAATCAATCGCGATGACAATCTGTGCGCTGCCTCTGGGTCTGAAGAATGGCTGCGACGCCTTTGGCTGAGCCAACTCACCTGAGATTCGAGTCACTCACAGTGCCCACGCTGAATTCCATCGCCTCGCTTCTCCCAACTGCTTGCAGGCGAGTGCCCTGCAAAGTCGGTTCAAGGATGAAGCAGCAAGGACAAAGTGAAGAATCCCTGGCCCCTGCCAAAGTGCTATGCATCTTGGTTTCAACAAGCGACGAATTAAGGACGCACGCGTACGTTCAAGGTCAAGTGCCTGCACGCGGTGAACCGCTTGCGCTGGATTTAGCGCAAGAGTCACCAGAGCCTCTCGTCAACACTTTCATCGCAGCAACGCAGACAGCACAGGCCTATAGGCGAGGAAGCGCGGGCAAGCAATTCTGGTTGGCCTGACAGGCAAGCATCTCAAAGAGGGGCTCATGCAGCACTTCTGGCCAGTCAGTCAGACAGACAGACACAGACACAGACACAGACAGAAAGGCAGAGAGACAGAGAGCCAGACAAACAGAGAGACAGAGAGCCAGACAGACAGACGGAGAGACGGAGAGACGGAGAGACGGAGAGACGGAGAGACGGAGAGACGGAGAGACGGAGAGACGGAAAGACGGAAAGACTGAGAGCCAGACAGACAGACGGGAGACGGAGAGATGGAGAGACAGACAGACAGACGGGAGACGTAGAGACGGAGAACCAGACAGACAGACGGGAGACGTAGAGACGGAGAGATGGAGACATGGAGAGACTGAGAGACGGAGAGACGGAAAGACGGAAAGACTGAGAGCCAGACAGACAGACGGGAGACGGAGAAACGGAGAGACGGAGAGAAGGAGAGATGGAGAAACGGAGAGACGGAGAGACGGAGAGACGGAGAGACGGAGAAACGGAGAGACGGAGAGACGGAAAGACGGAGAGACGGAGAGACGGAGAGACGGAGAGACGAAGAGACGGAAAGACGGAAAGACTGAGAGCCAGACAGACAGACGGGAGACGGAGAGACGGAGAGACGGAGAGACGGAGAGACGGAGAGACCGAGAGACGGAGAGACGGAGAGACGGAGAGACGGAGACACAAAGAGACGGAGAGACGGAGAGACGGAGAGACGGAGAGACGGAGAGACGGAGAGACGGAGAGACGGAGAGACGGAGAGACGGAGAGACGGAGAGACGGAGAGACGGAGAGACGGAGAGACGGAGAGACGGAGAGACGACGGAGAGACGGAAGACGGAAAGACGGAGAGACGAAGAGACGGAGAAGACGGAAAGACGGAGAGACGGAGAGACGGAGAGACGGAGAGACGGAGAGGCGGAGAGACGGAGAGACGGAGAGACGGAGAGAGAGACAGAGACAGAGACAGAGACAGAGACAGAGACAGAGACAGAGACAGAGACAGAGACAGAGACAGAGACAGAGACAGAGACAGAGACAGAGACAGAGACAGAGACAGAGACAGAGACAGAGACAGAGACAGAGACAGAGACAGAGACAGAGACAGAGACAGAGACAGAGACAGAGACAGACAGACAGAGACAGAGACAGAAACAGAGACAAAGACACAGACAGAGACAGAAACAGAGACAGAGGCAGAAACAAAGACAGAGACAGACAGACAGAGAGCCAGACGGACAGACAGTGAAAAAAAAAAGAGAGACAGAGAGACAGAGAGACAGAGAGACAGAGAGACAGAGAGACAGAGAGACAGAGAGACAGAGAGGCAGAGAGGCAGAGAGGCAGAGACACAGGGAGACAGACAGACAAACGGACAAACAAACACTGCACTCCAAATGTGTGCTGCACTGAAGCAATTTCAGATTACAGGATGAATGCTAAAGAAAGTTAACGCCCAGAGCGAGCGATGAGAAACGCACGTTCACTCACTCACAAAATCCCCCAAGCACAGCGAGCGCGCCTCCCCCTTTGGTGTCTCTGCTGGCTTTCGGGACTCCTTCAACAAAGCTTGCAACCCCATGTGAGTCATACTCAAAACCCGGTACCAACAAAACCTCTACCCAGAACCATCAGCATCAACAAGGCGGAGATCCGCTCGTGGCAAGGGAATTGTTCCAGGCTTCATCTACCCGAATCGGTTTTGAGCAAGTGGCCCATGTCGCACCCAGGCCTGGCAAGAAGGAAGCACTTGAGCTTGTTAACGGATGTCCAGAACCTGTCATTGCCAATGAAACGAGTGGCTTGCAGCCGCAAGCGCCATGCTCGCCATGCCTAGAGGCCGAAGCAGCGGGGCTTTGCGAAGCTCTAGGGCGCTCTTTACAGAACGCAAGCCTGGCAGTTTTGGGCGGACAAGTATTGACCCCATATTCATCAAGCCCAATTTATTCATGAAGTGTCCCTGGGTTTACACTCCCACAGACCAACATGGAAGCTCCCAGAATGCCTCACCCAAGTCCATTTCGGGGTGTTTTCGGGAGCTATCTTAGTCTGAAGGAGGGTAGTGAGGAAGACCTCTTATGGAGGGGGACACCCCCCATTCATCAACCGGGGTGGAATCCGGGGCCAACATAAGTCTGTCATTTTTGAGGGTGCTCCTTTTTGGTGGTCTTAAAAAGGAAACCACTTTTTTGTTGGGCTCCCCCAAAAAAAAAACGACACACCCACATCACATCACCGGCACTCGGCCGCCAAAAAAAAAAACGCACGGCCTTGCGGCACGGCCGCGGCGGGCGCGCCGGGCGGAGCCGGCACCGGCACCTCGGGCACCTCGGGCAGCTCAGGCACCTCCCGAACGAAAGACTCGGCGCTTCTTGGATAGCCCCACAAATGAACAGAACCCAAAGAAATAACGACCAAACATATGATCCAACAGCAGTGAAATACAACAATGAAGATCCACATATGACTAAAGATATGATCCAATCACGAAACATAGGATCCAGCAGCAGTGAAGATATACATATACATATATATATATATATATATCACTGGGCATGGGTCAAAGTTAAAGCACCAGGATATGGACCGCTGGTTCTGGTTTTGGGTTACATTTGCCAGGGCCCCATTTGGAGGTACTATTTTCTGACCCACTGCCTGGTGAGTTGCTGTTGTTTCAGGGTGTCCTTGCGGCACAGGGAACCACCAAAGGTGGAAAACACGTGTCTAGTTCGGATGAGAATTGGAATGACCCCATAGGAACCATCTGTGGTTTTCCTTTAAGGAATTCCCCTGCCGGTTCATTCCGAAAACCCGGAGCTGACACGCCTCGGGCGCGTCCAGGGAAGCTGACACGGCGCGGGTCAGCAACTTCTTCCGACGCCTCAGTTTGTTTCGATTTGTCCACGGCGCTCTTCGAAGGGAATATGGCTGTGGCTATTTATTTTATTATTATTTTTTAGAAATGAAACCAAAATGGCACCTTGGCAAATGGAACCAAAGACTAAAACCCGCGGTCACCCCAGCTCTTCAATTTTGAGCCATGCCCATATGACGAGCAAGCCAATCGAGATCCTTGCTCCGGGCTTCGAAGAATAAACTCTCCATCTGTGCAATGGAGCTGTCCCTGAGCAGGAGAGGGGTGCCCAGGGTGTTCCTGTCGCCATCTCTCACCAAGCCTCCTCTTTGACCTGACGCAGCAGGCGGACGTCGGCCTGAGTCGCACTCTTCTGTTTGCACTGAGACAAGAAATCCAGCGACTGCCTCAACGGAGCCCAGGAGAGCACGAAGCTTGTCGATCTCCACTTCGACCTGTCCTGGAAGAATCCCATGCTAAGTGCAAATGTGGGCCAACAAGAAATTGCCCAAAACAGATATGTCCACGCCTTCTCCCAACGCAGCTCTTAATCTCGCCAGCTCCATCACCCGCAAGCTCCAGCACTACCGAGCATGACTAAGGGCGACTCCAACACATAAGCCATCATCTGCTGTCAACGATATGAAGGACATGCCGAGCTTGCAATTCTGAGCGACCAAATTGCTTGCCGGAGAAACCCAACAACAACCAAACCACAAAACCCCCCGCAAACATCCCGAAGCCTGAAACCTTCATTCCCAATTTGACCTGCTTAGTCGTTCATTGCCACCATGTTACTTGCGCGTGCTCTTTTGCGATTCAATGGTCTTTGGCAGCTCGGAAACCTACAAAAGCACGCTTGCATGCCTCAAGACCTCAGTGGCAAAGGTACACTCCTCAAGACCCTCTCCCAAACCTTCAACGAGGGCCAAGCTGTTTTGATGCCTTTGACGCAGGTTTCGTAGTTGCTTTGGTGTAGCCTTTCCGCTGTGAAGCCTCCCAAAACCTCGAATACGAGGTTTAAGTGCCGCAAAGCATGCCAAAGTCGAAGAGGCTTCCTGATGTCTTAGATGGTGCCTCATTTCGATCAGATTGCTAAGCCTCACGCGCCATGAAGTCTTGATGCTTCTCGGCACCCACTTCTACCTCAACAGCCTCTCAGGTCAGAGGCGGAGCTTCAAAAACATGAGATGTTCTGAGCAAGGCACCCCTGGAACCATCCTGGAAAGGACCTCGGAAGGAAGGAGGCTTGAAACGCGCAGACGCATATCATGCATCTCAGGGAGTCTCGAACGGATTGCAAAATCCCTTGCACTTGCCTGAGTGTTACGCTGTCCGCAAAAACGCTCTGGCCTCTGATGCTGACTTGCCTTTGATGGCATTCGCCTCATCCAATATGACTTGTAACCATGCATACGATGCACGTTGGTCTCAAGCAACGTCACTGGAAGGCAGCCAGCAAGATCTCACCTGCCATGCAACCGACGACCATTGAGTGCTTGCTACAGCTGCTTCAACCCAGCTGGGTGTGTGGCAGTGTGGAACGGCTGGATGCAATGGTGCAAAACATGCCTCAGCTTGACGAGCACAGGAGCACGCGAACGAACACGTGTAAATATGCCTTCCCCTTGCCGTCTGGGGCACTGGAAGGCAGTGCCAACCGTGTGATGCGGAGTGTACGCTCCACCTCTAGAGTACTCCAGCGCCATCAGGGCAGTCCCATACGGCCTTAGAAAGGTCAGTCCTAGCCTCACGCGTCAGAAGAAGGTCGAACGGGCCAGCCTTGGACCCAGAAAGTCGGACCCAGCTGAGAAGGACCAAATAGCTGAGAATAGGGCTTCCCCAAGTTATCAACCCCAATATTGGGGATAATGGCAGGGTCCGACTTTCTGGGTCGGAGTGTGGTCCCTTTGAAAAAAGGTGAGACTCCTGCTTGTCCATGCTGTCCAGCCCCTTGAAGGTGCTTTCTTTCCAGGCCTTTCCAGCATTGCTGGCACATATGCACTTCTATAGGTTTGCTCTCTTTCTATCTGTCTGTCTCTGTCAGTCAGTCAGTCAGTCAGTCAGTCAGTCAGCCAGCCAGCCAGCCAGTCAGTCAGTCAGTCAGTCAGTCAGTCAGTCACTCAGTCACTCTGTCAATCCATCTCTCTCTCTCGCTCTCTCTCTCTCTCCCCCTTGTTCTCTCTCTCACTCTCTCTCTGTCTGTCTCTGTGTCTCTGTCTCTGTCTTTGTCTGTTTTGTGTGTGTGTGTGTGTGTGTCTCTCTCTCTATCGCTGCCTCTGTTGTGCGTCCGTCTGTGCCTCTGTCTGTGCCTCTGTCGATCTCTTCTCTCTCTCTACCTACCTACCTGCCTACGACCCACCCACCTCCCTGCGAACTACCCACCTATCTACCTACCTACCATCTATCCACCTATCTCTCGTTCTCTCTCTCTCTCTCTCTCTCTCTCGCTCTCTCTGTCCCCTTCTCATTTGTCTGTGCTTTTGCAAACACACAGCCCGTTGAGGCTAGGACAAGAATGGCAGTGCCATTGGTTCGAGCGCCCTGGCGCTCAATGCAAGCCCCAAAAACAGCTAACACCCACCAGCGCCAGCCTCGGGAAATACCACTACCGGCCCTTTCCAGCCTCAAAGTTTCAGGTACTGACATCCCAATCTGTAGCTGCATTGCTCTGAGATCCAGAGCCAGCGTGTGCTGCTTCAGCAATCATAGCCAGTGTCTGCCTTGGCCGCTTGACGCCGCCTATTGCCCGCCCATCCTTTCAAGGTAAAGGCTCAGGTCGCTGCGGCTCAGCAGAAGGAACCGTTCGCCGAGCCCCGACTCCTTGCAGGACAAGTGCCATGTCAAACTTTGCCGAGAGCAAACCAGCCGGTCTCCCCAAAGGCACGCCCAAATGAAGCAAGAAGTCGGCCAAGCGGTTCAAAGAGCACAGCCAGCTTGCTCTGGCCGAGGGCAAGGCGACGCAGCGCCCCCAACAGGGAGTATGCCACTGGCCTGCATCAAAAGCCCCAGCCACCGGCGCTGTGTGTTTTTCTAGTCACTGAGCTCGTCACGAGCCGTCAGCAGCTGGAAACACAAATACAGGACAAAGCCTTGGAGAGATCTGAATTCAGACGCCTTTTGCCCATCAAGATTCCTGGTGCTCGTGAGGATGGGACTTCATGCCGAGGTACAGCACATCTGCCAACCCTTGCCTCGGGCACAAAGGCAGAGCTGCCTTCACACCATACGGACGGGCTGCAAAGCGTGCCCCAATCTCAATTGATGTCTGAAGCCTCTTCCCAACAGGCTACAAGCTTCGCTCGAATGCGTCTTGCCCAATGCTTTGCAATCTCGCATGCTCGTCTTCCCACAAGAGTAGCCCAGGGTTGTCAGGTCAACTTTTCTCAGCGCAAAGGTTTTCGATTAGTATCGTGTTGGCCGGAAACAAAGGAGATCCGAGGGCGGAGATGTCAGGACATTTCAGCGGAGATATCGCGGGGTTCATGGGCAGGTGAATCTAGAAAACGGTCCGGATACGTTGTTTGTTTGCTTGCTTGCTTGCTTGCTTGCTTGCTTGCTTGCTTGCTGCTGGCTGGCTGGCTGGCTGGCTGGCTGGCTGGCTGGCTGGCTGGCTGGCTGGCTGGCTGGCTGCTGGCTGGCTGGCTGGCTGGCTGGCTGGCTGGCTGGCTGCTTGGCTTGCTTGCTTGCTTGCTTGCTTGCTTGCTTGCTTGCTTGCTTGCTTGCTTGCTTGCTTGCTTGCTTGCTTGCTTGCTTGCTTGCTTGCTTGCTTGCTTGCTTGCTTGCTTGCTTGCTTGCTTGCTTGCTTTGATTTTAATGCATCTCAACAGTGTTTGTTCCTGTTGGTCTTTGTTAGTAATATGTTATATAGTACTCTTTTATTTTTCTACCTGGGAATCCACAAAAGTCACAACAAATCCGCTATCTAGAGTGAAACACTTCAGTTGGGGTGGACTCGCTGCACAAAGATCGTTTCTGTGAGAGTGCGCTCTACGGATGCCGAGCAAGTCACAAAGTGTGAAGCGGTGTGAGGTTTTCAAACATGCACAAGCTGGGCTTGGCGGCCTGAGGCCCTTGCATATTTGCAATAACCAGACAACCTCGTCGGGCATCGAAGCATCGCGAGTTAGTGACCTCCGCTTTGCATTTTCGGACGCTCCGTCTCGCGCAAGTCGCTTCAGCACCCCACCTTTGGCGGTGCCAACTTCAGTCTCCTGTGGTCTGCTATCTGGTTGCCTCAGCTGTGAGACGGGCCCCGTCTACATGTTCCGGCCGGCTCGAAATCTGCTGAGCTGCCACCGGCAACAAACCAAAAACCTCAGATCAACGTCAGCTGCACTTCGGAAGATGCACACCCTGTGTTGCTCATCATGTTGGAATAACAATATCACCAAGGATGTATCGTTCAATATAGCGACGACAAGAATTCCGCCCAACACAAGAAACGCGACGATGTGTGCTGGTCAAATATTGACAGCCAGCGCAACCGCATTGAACTCTTCATCCGTCTCTCAAGGTTTGCACCGTGACATATCTCCTAACACCTGAGCGCAGTACCAAGGCCAATCAGCGCCATGCAGCAGCCAGCATAGGTCAGCAGCCAGTGCAATGGGCGCCTGCCGTGCTTCCAAGTGCAAGCATTCTTGACAGCCAGCAAATTTGGCCAGGGCAAACCAAACCTTCAAGTGCTGCATGAAACCGCTGTGAATCATGTGCCTTCTCCAGATGCATCCAATTGCCCTGCTTCATGATTCGCCGCCTGCCTAAGAACTGGTATGATGTTGAGCGGCCAGCATATAAGTTCCGCAAGGGCCAGCCTGAGAGGCACAATTTTGAAGACCCCTGGCCAGCTGGATTTCACAAAGACGCCAGCCACATGATGGCCATCGCGAAGGTGCATAGGCGCATGACTGCGACCGGAAGAAAGACCTTGAGCAACTCGGCATTCCGCGACTCGGCATTCCGCGGCTTGGTTTTAGTCAAACCAAGGCCATGGCAACTTTGAACAATCGTCCAAGCAACCCAGCCTGCCATAGACAGAACTTGAATGTGCCACATTCAAGCAAATCTGGGAAAGGCAGGCGGATGGCCTTGTAATGCGACCACGGCGGCACAAACGGGTTGACCCCCGTACCTGAGCAAACGCTTGCAATTGACATTTGTGCAAACGTCAATCTAAGTTACAGGCCTCCATCAGCAAATTGCCGAAATTTCTCCATGGCAACCAAGCGCCCCAAAAACTATGTGCAAGCAGCGTCAATCCGGCTTAAGGCCCTCTGCATTTGCTCCTATCGCCGCAATGTATCAGCACCATCAGCTCATGTAGTTTAGTGTGCAGCCATCAGGTTGTCAAGAGATCGAACCCAAACAAATCGCCTCGTCTGCCGAATCTTCCCTGTTGCAATGGATCAAGCCTATCATGCCACATATCTTGGAGCCAAAGTCAATCAGAAAACCATGTGCCAAGCTCTGGAACCCAATCGCACACTCACTGTGTGCACCTCAGGCCGGTGTTTGATGCATTGACACTGTCAGCTCCCATGTGCGGTCAATTGTTCGTGTTCTTTCTCTGATCTCCATGTTTGCAAAGACTTGTTCTGCTATACTTACACGTTAGAATCTTGATCACTGCTTCAATCCTAAAGGGAACATGCAGTCCAAGATAAAAGGGTGCGACCGACAAACATGTGCGCACGCTCTTTTTCTTTATAATGCGTTGCTTGGAAGTTGAGGCTCAGAGGTGCAGGGGGAAAGACATCGCGTGTCCTTTCCCCGTATCTGCACCCCTCTGCGGAGCCTCCTCATATGCCCCCGTGGTCAACAATGCGTGTTCGACCAGGCGCCAGGTGTGTTACCTGTGAGGCGTGAAACAATCGAAGGCATCCGGCTGGTGTGCAATGCGGCACGCGGTGCCAGGTCATGTGGCGGCTGGATGCAATGCGTGCATCCGGCTTATGTGCAATGGGTGCCAGGCTGAGGCCTGGCAGTATCTACAGCATGCGGGGCTGGTTGTGCACCGAGCCCTTTGAACGGCAGCTGCGGCTGGGCTCTGGCGGAAATATTGCATGCTGTCGCTGGCGCGAGATGCGTCTCACGGTGCTAAACTAAATTTTGTCACCTCTGCAGAAAGGTCATGGTGTGCACCGTACCTCTCGGGCCCCAGCTGCGGCTGGGCCCAGGCAGGTTCACCTGAGTGTTGACAGGGTGGGAGGGTGGGCGCAAAAAAGCGAGGGGTAACCTTCACGCAAGTCCTTCAGGTGGCTTGAAGCAGAAAACGGCCACGCGTCCGAAGATTCGATCAAGATTAAAACATAAGGGAAAATAAAACCCTAAACGTTAGAATCTTGATCACTGCTTCAATCCTAAAGGGAACGTGCAGTCCAAGATAAAAGGGTGCGACCGACAAACATGCGCGCACGCTCTTTTTCTTTATAAGGCGTTGCTTGGAAGTTGAGGCTCAGAGGTGCAGGGGGAAAGACATCGCGTGTCCTTTCCCCGTATCTGCACCCCTCTGCGGAGCCTCCTCATATGCCCCCACTTCAGGGTTCCAAGCAAACGGCCTGATCTATCACCCCCTCTTCAGAGCGTTTGCGAAGCACTCCTATGCCTTGTCCCTCGGCTGTCCAAACGATGCGCATCAGCTGGGCCAGGGTTTCGAAGCATGCTATGTAGCGCTGAGCCTCCTTTGTGAGGCACGGCCACTGCTGCTGGACTTCTTGGAAGTCCCACGTTTCCGCAAACCAGGAGACGGAGCGGCTGGATATAAACCAGCCACCTATGCCGACTGTGGTGCCCTCGGCACAAGCATCTGCGGCTGCCTTGCATGCCAAGACTGGATGCCAAATCGGCTTGAAAACATTGAAGGACCCACTCAATGTTAGCTTTGCTTGCCGCGGATAAGCGCGTGTGCTCGGCAGCTGGGTCGGCTACGCGCACCCATGCTGGCTTATGGCTGGGCACGATGCGCGGCAAGTCGGAGGAGCTGCGTATTGATGTTTGCTGATACTCTAAGACCCTGGAGCCAAGCGACATAAAAATGCCGTGCGCGGGCGAAGCTAGTACAGCTTTGGAGTTTAGCGCGGACAGAAATGCAGGCCACAGGCGTGCGTGCACGGATATCATGCATCCTGGTGGCAAGTGCAGGTGGCCCAGATGAGCAGCCCGAGGACTTGTTCCAAAAGCTTTCTTTTGATTCGTTTGGAGCGGAGCAGTGCGAAGAGCTGCTCTTTCAGCTTCAGGGTTTTGAGTGGAGTGAGTTCAATCGTTTCCAGGCTGAAGTTGATTGACCATCCGCACCAAGTCAGGCAGTTTTGGAATTGCACCTTTTTCCAAGAAATGGGCGCACTAATTGCTGCAAAGAATATGACAACGAGTGCCAGTTGCTGATGCGCATCTGGGCGGTGCAGTGCGGCCAAGAGGTCATCCACAAACAACCAAGCTCTACGCGGGTGTGCTGACAGGATGCCGTGCAGCAGCCTCAGCAAGAAAGCTCCTGTGCGTTGCCACCAGTACGCGGAGAACCGTGCTCCGAAGTGGCACACCCGGTAATGATACAAAGTGTCTGCGAAGCGAAACAGGAGCAAGCCATGTTCGCTAGGATGTACCTGAATTTGCTTGTGTGCGGCTTTAAAATCAAAACTTGCGCCTATGAAAGAAGCATGCGTGTCTTCTGGCATGAAAGCGAGGCGCCACTGTGCTGTCTAGGACCAGGCGTGGTTCCTTCCCTTCTGCATGCACCACATTGAGTTTGCCCACTGCAATTCCTTTATTCCAGTGCTGTCTAGCCTGTTCTATGGACATCTCTGTGCGGACGACCCACCCATTGGAGATTTCTTTATCCAAGAGCGCAGACACTGTGTTGGGCTCTGCTTCGGCGGCTGTCCAGTTGCCCATGCATCCTGCACAGCCCAAGCCTCCGGGTCCACCGTGCAGGGTTGGGCCTGCTGCTCTCTTTCGTAAACGAACATGTTCAGCTTTGATGGCAATGCGTGCAGCGTGATACTGGTGGGTATTGGACCCGCCCCCACCGAGAATGCTGGTTCGAAAACTGCATGCTGGCCGCCCCGCGATTGGGGTCTTGTGGGACGCCACCCCCTTATCAGTGCAGATGCGATCTGCGACTGCACCTAGAGGCTTTCGATTGTGTCGTCCCGGCTGTACAGTTGCACTGAGGTAAGGCGGTGGCGCCCTTGCTGACGCCGGGACTCCTCTGGCAGGCGAAGCTGCGCTGCGGCGCTAAGCAATGCCACTTTCAAGCAAGGTGTATGCTTGGGCCTCGTCTTGATTCAATTGCGAGGCGGTGCGGGGCATCCACGGCAGTTTGGACTGCCCACCTCAGCATCGTCTTTAGTGACGGATGCCAAAGCAGGCAGCACAAAGTCGGGCGACGCTGGCCTATGCGGGCTAGCCATGAAAGCGCCTTAAGCATAGGCTTGGGAGGCTGGTTCGGTCCTCGGTGTGTGATGTGTCGCAAGCATGCATCAGGTCCACGATGTGCGCCATTTGAAGGTCTCCTATCGAGACATCGAGCGCGCGTGCGAAAGCCAGGAACACTCGAATGCAGCGAAAATACTGGGCCAGCATAGAAGGAGTAAAATCTCTCAGCGACGCTTTGTCCCCTAGGGCGTAATGCCGCACCCGAATTTTCTGAGCTTTTTCGTTTCCGGTTCCCGGAGGCTGTTTTTTTCCGAGCCCCAGCGGTGCTCCCAGGCACCACCCCTCCCCGCCTCCAGCCCGGTGAGCGCCTCTCCTTAGACAATCTTTTCCCAAGGTCCTTTCCACCTCCAGCCCGGTGAGCGCCTCTCCTGGGAATAAGAATTCCATCCAGGTCCGAGACGGATCTTCCGAGACGGATCTTATCGCCTCCAGCCCGGCGCTCCTTACATAATCTTTTCCCAAGGTCCGAGACGGTTCTTTCCACCTCCAGCCCGGCGCGCGCCTCTCCGGAGAATAAAAAAATCCGAGACGGATCATCTCCGAGACGGATCTTCCGAGACGGATCTTTCCACCTCCAGCCCGGTGAGCGCCTCTCCTTAGGGAATTCCTTTTCCTTTGGTCCGAGACGGATCTTTCCACCTCCAGACCAGTGAGCGCCTCTCCTTGGGGTTTTTTTTCCTTCGGTCCGAGACGGATCTTTCCACCTCCAGCCCAGTGAGCGCCTCTCCTTAAATAATCTTTTCCCAAAAACAGCTTGTTTTTTTGCATGACATGATTTTGACATGATTTTGACATGACATGTGGAACAGCTTATTTTTTTGGCACGGTTTTGCATGTGGAACAGCTTGTTTTTTGCACGGTTTTTCATGTGGGTCGCATGAGTTTGGCATCGGTTCAGCCCTGTGGAAGTGCCCTCCCCCCCGTCAGGCTGCTGTGTCAGGTCGGACATCCTGGAGAACTTTGCGGGTCTGGCGCTGGGGGCGGGTCGTTTGGGCAGCGCCGAGCGGTCACTTAGGTAACGTGCCGAGCGGGCACTTAGGTAACGTGCCGAGCAGGCACCGTAGAAGTGCCGAGCATCACAGTGCCGAGCGGGCACAGTGCCGAGCGGGCACACAAGCACTTGTAGGAGTGCCGAGCAGGCACAGTGCCGAGCGGGCACTTGTAGGAGTAGGAGTGCAGGCACAGTGCCGAGCGGGCACTTGTAGGAGTAGGAGCGCCGAGCAGGCACAGCGTCGAGCGGGCACTTGTGGGAGTAGGAGTGCCAAGCAGGCACAGCGCCGAGCAGGCGCAGGCCCCCCGCTGTGAAAGTGGCAGGCCACTGTGAAAGTGGCGGCCGCTGTACAAGTGGTTGAGCGTGCGCTTTAGTACGGGTTCGCCCAACGACTCTTAGTACGGGTTCGCCCAACGACTCTTAGTACGGGTTTGCCCAACGACTCTTAGCACGGGTTCGCCCAACGACTCTTAGTACGGGTTCGCCCAACGACTCTTAGTACGGGTTCGCCCAACGACTCTTATTACGGGTTCGCCCAACGACACGTTCGCCCAACGACTCTTAGTACGGGTTCGCCCAACGACTCTTAGTACGGGTTCGCCCAACCTCGTTTGATACTGGCTTGCCCAACAACTCTTAGTACGGGTTCGCCCAACGACTCTTAGTACGGGTTCGCCCAACGACTCTTAGTACGGGTTCGCCCAACCTCGTTTGATACTGGCTCGCCCAACCTCGTTTGACACTGGCTCGCCCAACTGGCCTAGCTCTGTGCCCCTTGACCGCGGGGTGCGGACGGCTCCGCGCCGGTGGGATTTGGTGTCTGAGAGTT